ACACACACACACACACACACACACACACACACACACACACACACACAAATCAGAACCATGGACAATTGGGTACTTTTTCCACAACTGGGGACACCACACAGGAAGGTATGACCACTCTAACATGTTTGCCAAGGAGGCTCCATTACCACATGACAAAATGCCTATAGGCACAGTATCTGTATAGGCTGGGAATGACAATGAAAGATGAAAGGTGCACATTGTTATATTATCAGAATATTGTTTATTCTACATTGACCTGTTAATACATTTGAAAGTTATCAAAACACATTCTTCTCATATTACACTGTAGGCTACTGAACTATTCAAATCTTTCTCCAGCATCTCACCATACATCTGCCTGTAGTAATTAAACTCAACCTGTAGGAGGTTTGTTTATTGTGATTGAGTGGGGGGAAAGAGCTGCTGGCAAGGTTCTGACAGATGGGTGTGTCTTTGGTGGCAAGGACACACCCAAGAAACACCCACATCAAACCACACCCACAAGCCAACTCATGTTTGGCTTCTGTCATGGCCACCAGCATTTCTTGAGGAGCGAAAAAAAGGAGGCCAAATCAGCAGGTGCAGTTCCCCTTTAAACACTGTCCATTAGGGAGCCACACTGATGAGGACCGTGTGCTTACATTCACATAGACCCCTTATCCAGAGCAACTTACAGTAGTGAGTGCATATATAGTATTTGTTCATACTGGTCCCCTGTGGGAATCAAACTCACAGCCTTGGCATTGCAAGTGCCATGCTCTACCAACTGAGCCACACGGGACATTTGGTGTTTACTGCAGGAAACTGGAAGAACTGATGAAGACTGGTGATTGGTTGAAATGTCAGGAGTGGGTGGGGACTTTTCTACAATGATAATAACTTCATCAATTTGTAGTAGACAAATATAAGTTGTTTTGTTTCCATCACATTTTGAACTCTAGCTGTAACGAGTTAGGCGCAACTGGCCAAAAGGTGTTCAACTGTCTCTGGTCTCACCCTATATAAACAGTATCTACAGTACCTTTCTATCTGTAATATTGGGAATACAGTATGTTACATTTTGCATTATGACCTTGAACTTCCTTGTCAGTTGGAATAAGACCACAGTGAGTTATGAATGACGGTAGGTATTTAAAGAGCCACTGAACAAGCTGATTCTCACGTGTGTTTTTCTGTTGCTCATTAGAAAAACTAGTTTTCAGTCTTGGAGGTGTGTTTCCTGACCAATTCCGTTAATGATGTTTGTCCCCCATGAGACAATTCCTCAAAATCCCCAGAATAAATCTATGATAACTCAAGAAATCTGTATTAATTTTGACATTTTTGCCGAGGATGTTTTAGTTGTGATATTTTACATCTAAGTAAGGTGTTTGGTGCGGTATTTCTCAAGTAAAGAAATGCATGACATGTTGTTGTTGTCTTATGTAATAAATATATGTGTATCGGAACTGCTGGACAGGTCAGTTGGCAAATGGACATTGTCAAATCAAAACCCAACCTTCATTTATTTACCCGTTGTGACACACGGATTTTCCAAACTCTGTTTTAGACTAGACTGACTTCATGACCAAATTCTCCTTATTACACTTCGTAGTCAATTTTGACGCTAGAATAACTGTTTCTGACTGATATCGATGTCAAATAGGCAGTTTTCAAAGGGATGTATTGCTTTTGAAAGGCAGTCGCTCTTTATTAAAGGCAGCGCTGGTGCTTTTTGAAATAGGGGTGAACTGACTCTAGGCCCTTGGATAGGTTTAGTATTCTTGTTCTGGTTTGCATGTGTAATGATCTGACAGTGATGCTAAAGTGACGCTTTGCAATAGTATTCAATTCAATCTAACCTGCACTGCAGTATTTAGGCAGTATAAATTTTTTTTCTTCAGAAGTCAAATAAAATTACATTTCAAGTGTCCATTAAGCCACACTACTGCTTTTTATCAAAACAATGTAATTTCTGAACAAGAGAGCTGTAGGCTTGAGGGTCTGTTTTCAAATGCTACCTGGCCTTGGTAGGGATGTGGGTAGGGTTGTGATTAAACCTCCAAGTCATCGAATTTGCTAGGTAATTTGCAAGCTAAAGTTTGTGACAGTCTCTGCAGTCCTAAATATTATATTTAGAGAATCTCTCATGCTATACAATAATTCAATTTTACTAAAGGCTATGGCAATGTTTTTTATAGATGCAGTCCACCCAATTTAAAAGTGCACATTTACTTCCATAACAGTTTTTTGTACTAGCATGTAAGATCAACATATACACAATAATACATTAATAAATTATCAAATAAATTAAATATCCTGTCTTGTAAAGTTAGCTAACGTTAGCTAACGTTATAGCAATGTTTTAGAGATGGGCTGACGTTAAAATGGAATAGCATGCACACAGTAAGAGCTGGGGGAGAGAGGACTCTGATACAGCAGATATGTTCAACATCCATCAAGCCTTTATTAACGTCAAGCCTTTATTTCGCGCGCGTCACGTTTCCATGGCATCAATTCCAATGGAGCCAATGTATTCCAAGGATTTATGGAGCACTCCACATCTGAAGAGCGGCAGTAGATGGCAAATTCCTTGACTTTGAAAAGGTAGGGAACATTTCACTGATTAATTACGTAATTTGCCTATTGCATAATTATAAAACAATGGAGATACTGATTAATTAGGTTATCATGGGTTATATTTTGTGATCGAGTTGCATTGGGTCTGTAGGTTGTCAATGTGTGCTGGCTTTACTTACACATTACACATTGTCAGCTAGGCCACATTAATAAGGCACAAAGGCAGGTGCAAGTGAGCATGCTTGTTGCATGTAGTGGCTTTTTCTTTGGTTGTGATTGTCATCTTAAAGGCTATAGGCTCAATGTGCTAATTTCTGTTGAAACTCATATAGACAATATTTTTATATTTCCCACTAGATCTTTTGATTCTTCAAAATGTCAGAGAGGCCAATTTTTGATCCTTTCGGGGAAAATAAGTGAGTCTTCTGTATATCTGTCATTCATGTAGCCTACTGGATTTTTACTGACCTACTTTTAAAATGCCCTTTTGCCTCCCAACATTTTGTTACTTTTAGCTTTTTAAGGCTCATTGTTGTTATGAATATTCAAAACGTGATCTCAAGGCCATGTTACAGTAACACAATCATTTTCCTGTCGCACTCAAGATCAAATTCAAATATGTAGATGGTATAGGCCTATAGCATACTAAGTACATTTACATTTACATTTACGTCAAGTAGATGTATAAGCAATAACACAACCTCTTCACTTGTTGCTTTACTGCCAATTTAATCAAAACCCATCAGTCAATCCCATCAGTTAACAGTAGCCTATATAACATATTTTGTTTTTAAATATCACGAGCAGCAAAACAGTCACCAGACATTCCCGTTCAGCTTCTGTGAAAAGTTTGGACTCATTAGCCCTATGTGCGATGCCCAATGAATGAAAGATGACAGTGACTGTAGGAAGTCTGTTTAGGAACACCAAGTTATAGACTTCTTATTGTGTTTCCTTTATCATAAAATAAATAAATAAATTGCATCTTTCACTTTCATCTGTTGGACCTAACTGTCAAATCGCGGGAATTCCGATGACTGTCCTTGGTGCTGAATCCACTTGTAGCCTAGGCAATTTTCTTATTCGTTTGTCACTAAAAGTCACTAACAGGCAATATCAGGCGATGGTGGTAGGCTAATGTTATGATAACGTTTGTCCATGGCTCGAATATGCAGTGAATTTTGAAATGCGAATGCAGTGTGTGTCGACGAATATTTCCACGTTGAAGCCAATAAAAACTAGATGTTTGTTATAACTAGGCCTATTGTAGGGTTAGTGTATATTTAACTATATTCAATGGATAAGACAAACATCCATGTCTCCTTCTAAAGAGCCCTGTGCACACATTGCCTCATGCTCATGGAACAATATCATGCTTCTGACCAGATCCTATTTAGAAATATTGTTGTTAGTTTAAAAAACTGTTTTTCGTTTAATTTGATTAAAAACCAAACATATTAGAAATATTCATGATCCATGGGTTTATGGCAGTAGCCTGTATTCATGGATGCCCCAAAAAATTGACCAAGGAAAAAAAATAAAAAAAATAAATGTATCTTTTGTCTCTCTTTGTTTTATGATTTTCCTTCAATTCACAAGAGGCTGAATGCACTGTATCTCACCAGAGAAAGCATCCGAGTGAGTGAAACAGTGCCCCTCTGTCTCTGTATGTGTAGGACATCTATCTGATTCTGTCTGTTCCAAAAGAGTATGACATTGTTGCCGCCCGTAGCATTGAATACAAGGGAAGCCAGCGAGCATTTGGCCTCCCTTGATTAAAAAAATTATAAAATAATAGTCAGTCAGCGTTAAGCTAAACTGAGTGAGCTCAACTGTGAATGGTCTCTCCTTTCAAATCGCATTTAGAGCATACTTCATTGACAGAAACAACTTGAATGTTTGCATCTCGTTGTGTTGTTGTCCTCCGGTGGCTAGCTAGCTAAAATAGGCCCTTTCCTAAATTAGCCATGGATGGAGATGGGGATTTGGACTTGTGGTTTTACTTAATTCTCCGTACCGGCCAATGATTATAAAGGTGATCCAACCATTAAAGGGGAATGGAAACACTAGGATTTAGAACGCCAGCTAACTGTAACTGTAAATCCTCATATTGGCATTGTTGTGTCACTGGCAGGAGAGAACATTTTGGAACTCCCAAAAATGGCTGAATTTACCAAGAGTAGCTCTGAGTCTGAGAATTAGTTTATAACAGAGGATGAAATAATCTTAGTTAGGGAGCCAATAAACCTACTGAAGTCATTAATGTTTGAGCCGATCGTTGCCCCAGATCAAAGAGTTTTCGTAGCAGTAACAACACAGATATGTCGCCTGAAAACACCTTAGCTACAGGGTCGGCGTAGCAGTGACACAGTCTAGTGTGAGTGCGGATGCTGCCAAGATAATGGCTAGAGAGTATGAGTGTGTGTGTGTGTTGTAGAGAGATGGTGGCGATACAGCACAAAATCCCAGCGGATGGTGGCTGTATTACATTCAGTCAGAGGTTCCTGTCAGTCTGTCTGGATGGTGATGTATTGGACGTGTCACTAATCCTTATGAAGGACTTCCTGGCAGAAGAGGTTACTCGACCAGTCAGCAGCCGGTATGCCAGTTAAATAATTGCTGACATTTTGCTTGATTATAAATTGTTTAAAGCTAACATCAGTAGTGGGTAGGTGCTCAATATATATAATAAATAACCTATAACGATGTTTATCACAAGCGCTGTTTGGCACGACGGTAACGCATTCACCTGTAGATTAGACGACCAGCATTCGAATTGCAGACAACATCATGATTCATGAAATCTCATTCTAACCAATAAATGGGCATGCTCATTATAAATACATTGTGATTTAGTTTACAGTATCAGACTTTTCTTATTTACATTTTAGTCATTTAGCAGACACTTTTATCCAGAGCGACTTACAGTTAGTGAATGCATACATGTTTTTTTTTTTTAGTTTTTTGTCATACTGGCCCCCTGTGGGAAACGAACCCACATCCCTGCCGGCCAAACCCTCCCCTACCTTGGACGACACTGGACCAATTGTGCGCCGCCCATGGGTCTCCCGGTCACAGCCGGCTGCGACAGAGCCTGGACTCGAACCAGGATCTCTAGTGGCACAGCTAGCACTGCGATGCAGTGCCTTAGACCACCGCGCCACTCGGCCACTTATGATTTTGTTTGCAGAGCATACAGGCTTGCAGTTTATCGCCAGTTCACCCTATGGGCACAAGGGAGAATTGGATGAGGTGTATGCTGTGTCATCCCTGCGTGTCTCATCTATTCCATAAGGTGCGCATACCCAGAAGCAAGTGGCATTTACGTAGGGTTTGAGTTTGAATAAAACCAGTTAATTTAGTAAATCTAGCCTGCTGTAATTTTTTTCAAACATAGGCCTAATGCCTGCGCCTTATGTAAAAATAGTATTAGTTAGCTTGTCCACTATAACAACAGGTTCAAGCGTAACCAGATAAACTTGCTTTGAAGATAAAACTACTTTCAACGGGCACTAACCCCGTGTCCCTGTTGCTAGAGTAGTGACTTCAACTAGCTTTGGCTGCCATCTATTGGAAAGGAATGGTAACTACACTGGGCAGCTAGTTGGCAGAGTCAAAGTAGACTTTAATAATATATGCCATTTAGCAGACGCCTTTATCCAAAGCGACCTGGCTACATGGTAGTGGAAACAGATCATAGAAACAGAGGCATAATGGGACCCATCTCGTCCAAAAAGTTGACTCAAGTTTGCCAAAAAGCACCTGGATGATCATCAAGACTCTTGGAAGAACATTCTATGGACAGATGATTCAAAAGTATAACTTTTTGGACGACATGGTTCCAGTAATGCCTGGTGAAACCAAACTCCGCATTCCACAGTAAGAACATCATACCAAAGGACAAGCATGGAGGTGGTGGTGTGATGGTTTGGGGATGCTTTGCTGCCTCAGGACCTGGACGACTTGCCTTAATAGAAGGAACCATGAATTCTGCTCTGTATCAGAGAATTCTACAGGAGAATGTCAGACCATCCGTCTGTGAGCTGAAGCTGAAGCGCAGCTGGGTCATGCAGCAAGACAATTATCCAAAACACACAATCAAGTCTATATGAAAATTGCTAAAAAGCAACAAATTTGAAGTTTTGGAATGGCCTAGTCAAAGTCCAGACCTAATCCCAATTGAGATGTTGTGGCAGGACTTGAAACGAGCAGTTCATGCTTGAAAACCCACACGTCACTGAGTTAAAGCAGTTCTGCATGGAAGAGTGGGCCAAAATTCCTCCACAGTGACGTGAGAGACTGATCAACAACTACAGGAAGCATTTGGTTGGAGTCATTGCAGCTAAAGGTGGCACAACCAGTTATTGAGTGTAAGGGGGCAATTACTTTTTCACACAGGGGAATTGGGTGTTGCATAACTTTGTTTATGAAATAAATATGTAATTGTTGTGTTATTTGTTCACTTATGTTCCCTTTATCTAATATTAGGTTTTGGTTGAAGATCTGATAACATTCAGTATCACAAATATGCAAAAATAGAGAATATTAGAAAGGGGGCAAATACTTTTTCATAGCACTGTATAACCTTGTTTTACTCCAACATTTGTAAACAAAGCAAATGTAAACAAACACAATACAGCCTCAAAACATGGTTAAAACTATAATTGTGATATCATGGATGGTCAGTCCTTGCATCTATAGCTCTATGAGTTTGAGAGTGGTTACATTTCTCCAGCCCCATCCCTCAGCTTTTTACCGAAAGAGGAGCAGGGAGGACACTTTGTTATTGTTTCTATTGCTGATTGGCACTTTAAGAAGTTAAGTTGCAGATTAAATACACACCAAAATATGTTACAGATACTATAAAAATGTCACATCACTCAGACAGTTAGTGAATACACAGCATGCAGCACAGCAATCAATCAATCAATCAATCAAATGTATTTTACAAAGCCCATTGTCACACCCTGATCTGTTTCACCTGTCTTTGTGATTGTCTCCACCCCCTCCAGGTGTTGCCCATCTTCCCCATTATCCCCAGTGTATTTATACCTGTGTTCTCTTTTTGTCTGTTGACAGTTCGTTTTGTTTCGTCAGGCCTACCAGCGTGTTTCCCCTTGCTCCTGGCTTTCTCAAATTCCTGTTTTCTAGTTTTCCTGGTTTTGTCCATTCTGCCTGCCCTGACCCTGAGTCTGCCTGCCGTACAGAACCTTGTCACACCACCCTGGATTATTGACCTCTGCCTGCCCTGACCCTGAGACTGCCTGCCGTTCTGTACCTTTTGGACTCAGATCTGGATTACTGACCTCTGCCTGCCCTTTACCTTTCGTTTGCCTGCCCCCTGTTTTTGTAATACATTTTTGTTACTTCGACACTGTCTGCATCTGGGTCTTCTCCTGAAACGTGATAGTACGAACTGGCCATGACTGACCCATCCGACTCGGACCATCTCCGCAATGCCATCTCCTCCCAAGGAGCCACCATTGGAAGGCACGAGGAGTTGCTTCGTGGTCTCATGGGAGGGTTCCAGACCTTGGCCGAACGTCATGACCGAGCGTTTAACACATTGCAGGAGCAATTCCACGGGTTGTCTGTTAGGCAGCCTACCACGACGGTAACCTCTCAGCCCCTCAGTAACCCGGCTGTTAGCAGCGCGGCCTACCTGGCCACCCTGGTTTCCAGAGACCCCGCTTACTTCCCCTGGAACGCTTCGCTGTAGAGTCGGGAACCTGTTGGGCATTTCTTGCTTAGTGTTCGCTCATCATCGAGCTGCAGCCCTCCTCCTTCCGCTCTGACCGCTCTAAGATAGCGTACCTCATCACGCTGATGTCCGGGAGGGCTCTCGCCTGGGCTACGGCAGTGTGGGAACAACAGTCGGCCATATGCTTCAGTCTGGAGGAGTTCATGCAGGAGGTAAAGAAGGTTTTCGATGCTCCATTGTCCAGGAGAGAGGCTGCCCGGAAGTTACTCCAGCTTCGGCAAAAATCCCGCAGTGTGGCAGACTATGCAGTGGATTTCCGCACGTTGACAGCTGAGTGTGCCTGGAACCCGGAAGCGTTGTTCGGAGTATCGGAGGAAGTAAAGGATGAGCTTGCAGGGAACTACTGATGGATCTCGACTCACTCATCGCCTTGACCATTCGGATCGATGGGCGACTACGGGAACGAAGGAAGGAGAGGAAGTCCGATTCCACTCGCCCGCCCAACGATTCCACCTCGCCTCCGAGGAATGCCCGAAATCCCCGACGGCTCCATTGCCGAGAGAACCCGAGGCTACCCGATTTCCCCCGAGAGTCTCCGAAGTCTGCCGATTCAGCTCTTCCCGAACCGATGCAACTAGGCAGAGCTAGGCTGTCTCCAGCCGAACGGCAATACAGGCTTCACAAGAAGAGTTGCCTGTATTGCGGGTCTACTGGTCATTTTGTGTCCACCTGTCCACTAAAAGACCAGGCTCACCGGTAGGAGTGAGTACTCTGGTGGGTCATACGGAAAACTTTTCCTCTCCCCTTACTCGCACCCCCTTTCATGCCATCTTGCTGTGGGGGAACCAGTCGAAATCTCTCCGGGTACTCGTTGACTCTGGGGCCGATGAGAGCTTTATGGACACTACCCTGGCGTCCGAGCTGGGCATCCCCACTCAGCCCCTCTCCATTCCCATGGACATTAGAGCACTGGACGGGCACTCTATAGGCTGGGTCACCCACAATACCCCCCCCCCCATCATCCTGCGAGTATCAAGGACCACAGCGAGACGATCCAATTCCTGCTAATTAAGTCTCCTCAGGTTCCCGTGGTATTGGGTTTCTCTTGGTACCAGCGACACAACCCCTTTATTAACTGGACCTCTGGGAGGTGTTCAGTAAAGCCCGGGCTACTTCGCTTCCACCGCACCGACCCTACGACTGCGGTATCAACCTTCCTTCTCCCAAGCACCACTCCGCCCCAGGGACGACTGTACTTGCTATTGGGTACGGAGATGAAGGCTATGGAGACCTACATTGAGGACACCCCTAGTTGCTGGGTTCATCCGTCCTTCTGCCTCCCCAGCCGGCGCAGGGTTCTTCTTTGTGGAGAAGAAGGACAAAACTCTGCGCCCGTGCATCGACTACCGGGGCCTCAATGGCATCACGGTGAAGAACCACTACCCGCTACCACTCATCTCCTCGGCCTTCGAGCCGCTCCAGGGGGCCAACGTGTTCTCCAAGCTGGACCTACGGAATGCCAACCACCTGGTGCAGATATGGCAGGGGGATGAGTGGAAGACTGCCTTCAACACGGTCAGCGGTCACTACGAGTATCTAGTCATGCCATTTGGCCTTACCAATGCTCCAGCTGTGTTCCAGGCCCTTGTTAATTATGTTCTCCGAGACATGTTGAACCGGTTCATCTTCGTCTACCTCGACGACATCCTCGTCTTCTCCCGCTCCGCCCAAGAACACGTGCTCCACATCCGACAGGTCCTCCAACGCCTCCTGGAGAACCAGCTTTTTGTGAAAGCGGAGAAATGCGAATTTCTTTGCTCCAACATCCCCTTCCTGGGCTACATCATCGCTGCAGGGAGTGTACAGATGGATCCTGGGGAGCAGTGGTGGATTGCCTAGGTCCAGAGTCAGCTGCAACGTTTCCTGGCGTCTCCGCGTTTGTCGCTGCCTGCACGATCTGTGCGCAGAACAAGACTCCTCGGCAAGCTCTGGCTGGTCTCCTCCAACCTCTGCCTGTTCCTCACCGTCCCTGGTCTCACATATCCCTGGACTTTGTCACGGGTCTTCCCCTGTCTGATGGTAACACCGCCATCCTGACAGTTGTGGACCGGTTTTCCAAAGCCGCCCACTTCATTCCTCTCCCTAAGCTACCCTCTGCCAAAGAGATGGCCCAGCTCATGGTGCAGCACTTCTTCCGGATCCATGGACTCCCAGTGGACATGGTCTACGACCGGGGTCCTCAGTTCTCGTCCCAGTTCTGGAAGGCGTTCTGCACACTCATTGGGTCGTTGGCCAGCTTGTCCAGTTTCCACACTCAGTCCAATGGCCATTCGGAGCGAGCCAACCAAGACCTGGAAACAACTCTGCGCTGCCTGGTCTCCGCCAACCCCACCACCTGGAGCCAGCAACTAGTGTGGGTCGAATACGCCCGCAACAGCCTTCCCTGTTCTGCCACGGGTCTTTCGCCCTTTGAGGGTTCCCGTGGTTATCAGCCCCCGCTCTTCCCGGAGCAAGAGGAAGATGTCGGCATACCCTCGGCCCAGATGTTTGTCCGCTGCTGTCATCATACCTACAGTCACACCCTGATCTGTTTCACCTGTCTTTGTGATTGTCTCCACCCTCCTCCAGGTGTTGCCCATCTTCCCCATTATCCCTAGTGTATTTATACCTGTGTTCTCTGTTTTTTCTTGTTGACAGTTTCGTCAAGCCTACCAGCGTTTTCCCCTTGCTCCTGGCTATCTCAAGTTCCTGTTTTCTAGTTTCCCCGGTTTTGACCATTCTGCATGCCCTGACCCTGAGACTGCAGCCATTCTGTACCTTTTGGACTCTGATATGGATTACTGACCTCTGCCTGCCCTTGACCTGTCGTTTGCCTGCCCCCTGTTTTTGTTATAAACTTTTGTTACTTCGACACTGTCTGCATCTGGGTCTTCTCCTGAAACGTGATACCTTTTTACATCAAAATAATAACCACAGTGGTTGTAGAGGGTGCAACAGTTCAACACCTCATGAGCAAATGTCAGTTGGCTTTTCATAGCTGGTAGCGGATCCGGGAGGGAGCGAGTCAAAACAGCAGGTCCGGGACAAGGTAGCACGTCTGTTGAAATGGGTAAAAAAATCAGTGGAAAAACAATTCCACTCTGATTCCCTTTATGGATGTGTGTATCTTTGAATTCACTGTTGAATGGCCTGCTCCTTCCCCCAAAGTGACCGCCACTCTCTCTCTTTGGGCACTCAGGAGTGTCCGCTGGGATGGTCCTAGAGCCAGATATAAATTACTCAAATCCTAGTTCTGATTTTACTATAAAATATATGACAGTAACGCTGGCTTCCCGATGGCCACCAGCTGTTTCCTCAAACCATTGTCAATGTGTCACGGGTCATACTCATGGCAGATATTTTTTTATTTTATTTAACCTTTATTTAACTAGGCAAGTAATAATGGTTTTATTATTATTATCCTAAAGGTACCTACGTCCTCTTCATAAATCCACCAAATACACACTTACAACCCTTAGGCTAGCTACAAATATAGGTTAGGCTATAGCTTACCTCAATGTGTTGCAGGCATCTCTCTAATCCCTCAGTCTCCAACCAGTAACTGTTCTTCACTTCGGTCACATGCACAGTCTCCTGGGTGAGGATCAGGTGGGAAGCAGTCCAGGATGGTGTAAGTGCCAAACCAGGCACAATGGCCTGGCTCAAGATACGATCAGTGGACTGTCACCAATTGTATCCAGAATGCCCTCTGTGTGCTGGGTCCACATGTGGTTAACCTCTGGCACAATGTAGATGCGCTGTTGGTTTGCGAACTGTCGCAGTGACATAGATACCAGGCTGAGGAGGTGACATGTTTCCACAAATATGGAGTGGGAGCCGCCAGTAAGGAAGACCAGTGATGGCACAAACAGATTCCCTGCAAACAACTTTCCCACTCTGGTCTGGGACTCCCACTTCCTCCTGTGGCCCACATCACACTGTTTCCATGGTGATGGCAAAAATATTTATTTTCAGGGATGAACTGATGACACCTGCTCGACATCGTGGCTCATTGCAGACATTGAACAACTCCTTCAGCTTGCTATCAAGGACTATGTATTTTGGATCTTGCACACACGCTTCGATAGTATCTCTTGGCTCGCACTGTAATGATTGTGGCTCCCGAGTGGCGCAGCGGTCTAAGGCACTGCATCTCAGTGCTTGAGGCGTCACTACAGACTCCCTGGTTCGATTCCAGGCTGTATCGCAACGGCCGTGATTGGGAGTCCCATAGGGCGGAGCACAATTGGCCCAGCTTCGTCCGGGTTTGACCGGTGTAGGCTGTCATTGTAAATAAGAATTTGTTCTTAACTGACTTGCCTAGTTAAATAAAGGTAAAATAAATTGTGATTCTGAGCTCTCAGGTTCAGACAGTGAGTCCTGATCTTTGCGGATAGGGGCAGGACTCGGTTGTATAGTGATGGTCGTGAGCGCAATATAGCTGGGCCTCGAGCTCTTTAGTGATGGTCCCGGTGGATATCTTCTCCACCGCAGCACAGGAACCCAGGGGTCAGTTTGGCATGCTGTATTAACCGTTCTTTCCTGTTGGTAGAAAACAGTTAAGGCATCTATTAGGCTATAGTTATATTCAAGAATCACTGCATATACTGTATATTGTCCATTTTATATCCAAAATGGCCTCAGGGATGACAGATTGTGTCTTGAAATAAACAATAGCCTTAGAAGTAAGATTGTTCGTAAATTCAGAGCATTTCACTCTTGGAGCGTTCAGAGCGCACACTGGACGCTCTGGCCAAGGGTTGACAAGCACCTAAGCTAAGTGGCTAAAGTTGGCTTGCTTGCTAGCTACTTCCAGACACAAATGAGAGAACACCTAACTCTGTCCATTTTACTCGCCCTAGCAGAGCTGGTTAGGCTGTTTTCATGTTATCTAGAGTGTTAGTGACTGTAACTGTGCTGCTGGCAACAATTATTTAAATTTATTTTGCAGACGGTTACTGACACCGGTCATATTCAACAGGTGTTGCACATTTGGAAATGAATCACTTATTCTGCGCTCTGGCACACTCAGACAGAGTGCTCTGAAATCAGAGTAGATAGCCAGAGTGAATTTATGTTCCGGCCCCACAACCATCCGCTCCAGAAAAAATCGGCACGCGGCTGAATCTAGTTGATGATCCCTGCTGTAGGTCATGTAACTGTTTGTTACATGAAATATGCTTTGTGGACTTCACCAGACAGAGGTTGTTCTCCGGTTTTGTGATGAAACAAAGGTGTGGTTGAATTTATTCTGCCACTGCGTCTTCTTATTGTCTCAGCCTTTAGGCCTATATATCATGGTCGTAAGGCACATGAACTAACAGGTTACAGAGCAAACAACGCAATTATCACATACCTGAAGGTTGTAATATGGCTTTTGTTTCTGGCTTCCTGTCACGCCCTGACCTATAGAACTCTAGTTTGTTGAGTCAGGGTGTGGAAATCTATGTTAGATATTCTATGTTTATGTTCTAGTTTTCTATTTCTATGTCTGGCCGGGTATGATTCCCAATCAGAGGCAGCTGTCGCTCGTTGTCTCTGATTGGGGATCATACTTAGGTAGCCCATTGCCTACTGTGTATTGTGGGATCTTGTTCCGTTTAGGCGTGTATAGCCTGAGGACTTCACGTTACGTTGTTTCTTGTTTTGTTGTATGTTTATTGAGTAAATAAACATGTACGCTTTTCACGCTGCACCTTGGTCCGACCCGTCTCTAAACGATCGTGACAGAAGATCCCACCAAACGAGGACCAAGCAGCGTGGCCAGGAACAGACATCCTGGACATGGGAGGAGATCCTGGATGGTAAGGGATATTGGACATGGGAGGAGATCCAGGCTGGGATGGATCACCGTCCTTGGGAACATACAGAGGAAGCCCGGGTAGGAGAGGAGCAACGAGGAGGAGGCCCGAGAGGCAGCCCCAATATTTTTTTTTAGGGGGGCTAAAGGGGTGGTCAGGGATCGAGAGAGAAGAGCCCCGACTACTGCACCCGGTGAGGTTCCAGTTGGAGTCCCTATGACCATGGGAACAGGAATGGGAACAGTGTTACACTGAGGAGTCGGAGGATGACGACGACGATGAGTTTCTGTTCCCTAACCGGAGGAGTCCTCACTGGAGGAGGATTGGGCGTGGAGAGAGAAGGACTGGAACAGTCGTGGATCTCCAACGGCAGTTATCAGCCAGGTACGCCCCGTTGCCTGCTTCTCGCACCAAGCCAGTGGTGCGTGTTCCCAGTCCGGCATGGCCCGTGCCTGCTCCTCGCACCAAGCCAGTGGTGCGTGTTCCCAGTCCAGCATGGCCTGTGCCTGCTCCTCGCACCAAGACAGTGGTGCGTGTTCCCAGTCCGGCTCGGCCCGTGCCTGCTCCTCGCACCAAGCCAGTGGTGCGTGTTCCCAGTCCGGCACGGCCCGTTCCAGGACAGAAACACACACCTAAAATGGAGTCAGCAGGTACAGTCGGTCCGTCCGGATCGTTGGAGGAACGTATCCAAAGGCAGGCGAGCAGGATCAAGGCTCTCGGCAGCGCAATGGAGCGCGTGGTGAGTACATTGGAGCGATGGGAGAGAGGTGTACGTTTCTACACCTCCTCCAACCACACAACTCACCCGACCTCCAGCGACGGTCCCCTGCAGGGAGCACTTTAGCGTGTCGGTGCCCAGTCTGGGGCCGGCAACCCAGCCCAACTACAGGGTTGGAAACCACCTCTGCGTCGGTGCCCCGGATGGGCACAACATGCAACCCCGTTTTGGAGCAGGAGCTCCTAAACGTGTCGGTGCCCAGTCTGGGGCCGGCAACCAGTCCTACTACAGGGCTGGAATTTTCCTCTGCGTCGGTGCCCAGGCTGGGCACAGCGTTTAGTCCTGCTCCAGAGATGGAGATGGATATGGGTCCGGAAGTTTGCTCTACTCCAGAGCCAGAGCAGTCCGCTCCACCGGTGTCCAGTTCAGCTCCGGTCGGTGGCTCCACTCCGGAGCTAGAGCAGTCCGCTCCACCGGGGTCCAGTTCAGCTCCGGTCAGCTGCTCCACTCCGGAGCCAGAGTAATCCGCTCCACCGGTGCCTGATCCAGCTCCGGTCGGTTGCTCCACTCCAGAGCCAGAGCAGCCCGCTCCACCGGTGCCCAGTCCAGCTCCGGTCAGCTGCTCCATTCCGGAGCCAGAGCAGTCCGCTCCACCGGTTTCCAGTCCAGCTCCGGTCAGCGGTTCCACTCCGGAGCCAGAGCAGTCCGCTCCACCGGGGTCCAGTTCAGCTCCGGTCAGCGGCTCCACTTCAGACCCAGAAGTCAGCCCCTCTCCAGGGTCGGGGCCTCCCACACCAGGGTCCAGACAGGGCTTGGTGCATCGCGGGAGGATTGCCGATCCAGGCCCAGACGTCAGCCCCTCTCCAGGTTCGGGGTCTCCCACACCAGGGTCCAGACAGGGCTTGGTGCATCGTGGGAGGAAGGAGAGGGGAAGCATCGCGCCGAGGTCCAGACCAGACCAGGGGCGCAACGGGGAGGCAGAGAGGGAGAGGTCGTCACGCCCGGAGCCAGATCCGCCTCCGAGGCTGAAAGCCCACCCGGACCCTCCCCTGTCATGTCAGGTTTGTGTGGCCGGAGTCCGCACCTTTGGGGGGGGGGGTACTGTCACGCCCTGACCTATAGATCTCTAGTTTGTTGAGTCAGGGTGTGGAAATCTATGTTAGATATTCTATGTTTATGTTCTAGTTTTCTATTTCTATGTCTGGCCGGGTATGATTCCCAATCAGAGGCAGCTGTCGCTCGTTGTCTCTGATTGGGGATCAGACTTAGGTAGCCCATTGCCTACTGTGTATTGTGGGATCTTGTTCCGTTTAGGCGTGTATAGCCTTAGGACTTCACGTTACGTTGTTTCTTGTTTTGTTGTATGTTTATTGAGTAAATAAACATGTACGCTTTTCACGCTGCACCTTGGTCCGACCCGTCTCTCAACGATCGTGACACTTCCCCAGTGATTTTACCCATGCACTGCTACTGTTTTATGGCGAGAACGTATCATTTTGTCTGCTACTTCTGGAGAAGTGCAAAAATAATCTGTAAAATGGTTCCATGATGTTTATAAAACATTACATTTGCGATTGCGAGCAGTATAACGGTGAGTGGACATTGCCCCTTTCTCTTTATCTGTATTATATGCCCACGAGGAACAGTTATGGTGCCTATAACTGTATTTAGACATAGCCTATTTAAAACAAGTTGTTATTTCGTTTTTATAAGAATTTGATTAGAATTATACACTGTCTTTTTAGGCCTTATCAATAGCCTAGTGAATGTAATCTTGCTTATTGACTGCAAGTCCAGACTGCAATTTACAGTAGGCCTAGCCCTTATATCAGTGCGACGCTGTAGCCTATGTTTAACAATATTTTTCCATATTGAAGAAATCCAATTTGAACAATGTGGACTGCAAACATGTAAAACAATATTTTGCAAATATGGGGCAGGCTATTTAACGAATTAGGCTATAACGGATTAACATTAGAGTTGGTGAAAACGCAATAGGATAAATGACCTTAAATACACTATTTGAAGCAACCACATATTTAGCCATGGAGCACGTTGGCCAGTGAGGGGCCAAGCCTTGACACACCCACAACTTGTTTATTCATAAAAACTGGTTGTGAAAATAGCCAAAATATTTCAGACTCAGCCCTGAATCTATAACACTACTGCCAGCGCTAAGATTCACCTTTGCATTACGTTTGTTAAAATAGAGCCCTCTGCAACTAGGCCTAATACTGCTACCATTAAAACTACAACCACTTCTACTGCTAGCCTACTGTACCTCCAGACCTTCACTGTGAGACCTTTCTACCCAGGCCAGAGCCCAGTGTGTCCAGGCATCCCCATGCCTCGCCCTTCTCTCTGGGCAATCGTGAGCTCACCACTGTGTCCCTGAAAGTGGCAGAGGATAGCCCGCTATGCCACAAGCCCAGAGTGACCCTCTCCACCCAGCGCAGCAGTGCCCGCTTCGGAGCACCCAGCCACAGCCCCTTCTTCTGTAGGAACAACCCCCACCCACAGAGGGTCAGGCACGTCAAGGGTAAGTTTGATGCACCCAGAGACACAAAGAGGCATGCATATTCGCACACATGCAAACATACACATACATACATACACACACACACACACACACACACACACACACACACACACACACACACACAGTGTCTATTCATTTACTAATAGTTGAGTCACATTCCCACCTAGCAGACGAAGAATAGCATTGGTACAGTGCCTCAAGATTATTTAATTTACAGGTAATTAAACAATGCCTCCATCCTTCAGATAATACATTTTTAATCCATATCTGTTGTTTCCACAGGTATCAATGACAAACAAATCTGTGTTGTCAATGATGTCACCTTTGGCCAGATGCCCCAGTACTGCTTGGGCAGGGTCCTGACCCCTGAGAAGAATCTGGTGTTGCAGTCAAACATGCCAACGGCGGCCATCGGCACCAACAGCACTTACCTCCCTATTGACGTCCTCACGGGCCTCCAGTTCTTCCCCCTGAAGCAGATGGATTCCCCCTCTCTGAGGTTACGTACGTTCAGACAGTCTGTCAGTCTGGCCCCAGATCTGTTTGTGTCATGTCAATGGCCATAGGAGTTGGCAAGACTCCTTCAATACAGCAAGCCTCTGTCAATTTGACCCTTTCTCTCTTTTTTATGGTGATGTCATTTATGTACATACCAGCCCTATTGATCCTGTGATATGGTGTTGTGAGGAAGTAGTTCTCTTGTAAAATGGATGTGCTTTGGTTCATTCCCAGCTGCATCCAGCTGTATTCCCGTGGAGTAGCCTACTGTACATTGTTTTGTGTTTACAACTGAGGTACTTATGTACTGCTAAACAAAGTTACGATGACGTTCTGATTGAACTGTTAACGTTTTTGTGTGTTCAATTTCATTATATTGATGTTGCATTTTTGGAAATAATTCCTATAGCTGCATGTTATGCCTGTGTATTGTAGTGTTGCTGAAAGTAAAAACAGGCATGTAGAGTGAGAATGAAACTGTAGACCCTAGAGCATTCTGCTACAGGTAACCAGATATCAGTGTGATGGTTAAGCACTGTTACATGTTACAACTGCTGCCCAAAGCAGCTCATTCAATACAAACTATGGGATAAATTGGTAGGGACGATGAATGGGGAAACAACAATTATTTAAAACCACATTCATGGTGGTGACCTAAAGACACTCAGAATCTATGTATGTATATGTGTGTGTGTGTTGTTAGGCTATCGACATTGTGGTAAGTTCCATAATGAAAATAATGGTACAGAAAAAATACAAAATAAGCACAGTACAGTGTAAACATCGAAATCACATGTATGCAGTTGTCACACTACAACAAATATGTTTGTCAGATCTTGAATAAGGCATATGTAGGCCTTATTGCAGGCTTAGTGTTAGCAGAGAATGAATTTGCTGCTGTTTTGTTCTCTTCCAAGTGACCAAGGCCTGGCGTGAGGAGTTGCGAGAGTTGACAGAGAGGGCAGGGCTTTTGGGACCAGGTGGAAGAGGTGAGATGGAATATCATTTTCATAAGATTAAATTGTATTATTATATACTGTCCACCCAAGTCTTGGTAAATTCCACTTCAACTCCACCACAAGAAAGGCTGAATCCTAACTGGAGAGCTCTTAACTCCAGATTTGGACATCAATGAGAGAAAGTTGGAGTGGGATTGAATTGAAATTGTATTGACCTCCAACCCCAAGTGCTGCATAATGCTACAAAATATAACATTTAGTTTAATAATGTGCTCCTAACGCTTAAGAGGAAACCATATCAGTCAAAACCATTTGTAAGTGCTGTTATAGATACACATTCTGTGTCTGGTGAAAAAAATTGTTGTTTGGTTTGAGGGTTAGGTTTAGGTAAGAGTTAGGGTTAAGATTAGAGTTAGGATTAGGGTTGTTGGTTGTTACCCCATTGCCCTCTGACCTCCAGGCAGTGGTGTCCCCTTATTCCCCCAGTCCAGCTGTGTGTCAGCCCTCGGGGGGTCTACAGACAGAGAGGGGAACCTAACACTACAGCTGATGGTGAGCACTAGTGTTCTTCATGTTTGAAAACAATTCCAAGGCACTTCCCACTGGGCACAGACGTCAATTTAACGTCTATTTCATGTTGGTTCCACGTCATTTCATTGAAATGATGTGGAAACAAGGTTGATTCAACCAGTGTGCGCCCAGTGGATTTTAAATATAACTACAGATCAGTTGAACTTGTCCCCAAAATGCCCGAAAGCTGCAAGGAATGTTAAAAACAATTGCAAAATGTTTCAGTTATAGGTTGCCTTCATGATGGCCTTCGAGTTACAGCTTGTAACATCACGTTATGACATAGTTTGAACACTCTTATATATCGTAGGTGATTGATATGCTGTGTCAGATACTGCAGACTGAGTCTATAGGGGATGTCCAGCAATGGATTCTGACAGCTGGTCAAAGAGGTAAGTGCACTGAACTGCACATATACACCAATCCATTTAGCATGCAGTCACTGTTATTTAGAGCCCTTTTCTAGTTGTTGAAATCCAGCTGCAGAGCATAGTGAGGGAAAGACAAGATTAGATAGATAAGATAGTTATTTATTCATACCCCAAAGGAAATGTGATAGCACCAGCCAAATTAACAGTAACAAAAGGATACATTATCAAGAAACATTCTATCACAACACTAAAGTGAGACTCCGCAATTAGCGTTGCCACAGGCAGAATGAACCAAGAATATTGCAGATGAGCGAGATGCAAGACACCCTCACACAAAGCATATGATGCACTCACACAAAGTATCTGTCTTTAAAAGTCCCCAAAAATAGTGTTAATCAGGACCATAATCCCAAGTCCTGACTAAAATCCATCAGGATGTATACATTGATCTGTCATGGCGTTAACCTATGGTGGTATTTACTTTTGTGCAGAAAAGGACCAGGTTCTAAGTCTGCTGTGTTCCGCCCTGGCCAAGGACCCTGTCTCAGCCTATGAGGCTCCGGGAGGAGAGCAGCTGACAGTGAAGGAGGTTCAAAACCTCTGTCCTGCCTCCAGAATGGCTTCGATCAGTGAGGAGGATACCACCAGGTTAGTGTTTCCAACCAGAGAATAACATCATTGTAAGACACCTATAACAAATGTTGTCTGCTGGGATGATCGATTGTTGAAACATTGGTTGTTTTTTAATTGTTGGGTCAATGGAAGATGGCAAAAGCTTTTAGTGGATCACAGCAAAAAAATTATGTTTTGGAACCATTGCACATTGCAAGTTGGCTGCACACTTCACAGCATACAGCCCCAGGACCAAATGCGGCCTAAAAAGTAATTGATGATGTGGGGGGGGGGGGGGGGGGGGGGATCCTAGTTCTTAAGGAATTCTATTTGAAATTGGATGAATGATGATGCAATGCCATGTAGTATGAAATCACCATGCTCCTTGAATCATTTCAATATCTGGCTGCCACTTCCCCCCTGGACAAATACTATAAGTTGTGCAGCCCTGCACTAGGTACTGTATATCAATACTGCTACACGCTGGCCAATACATTTGCCTATTCAAAAAGGACAGCCTGTAATGTATTTACAAAATATATTATCTTTACTCTTTACAGAGATCATTCCCTAGAAATGATGTCAAACTGTGACTCTGGTGAGTCTCCAAGGTTAAGAGCTGACAAATAGTATAATTAATTTACCTAGTAATTGATGTATTGATTGATTCACTCCATGTCTGGAGGTCTGTCTATCTATAATACACCATTCCCAGGTAAACTGGAGGATGCAGACACAGAGAGGGCAGAGTCCAAGACCTCCAGGGAGAGGCACAGCGCCAGACCCCTGAGTACCCAGAGGACCCTAGGTAGCCCCACCGTGTGTCACCTCAACCAGAAAGTGGTCCTACGCTACACCAAGCGGGCCCTGACGCCTCACACGCCACCAGAAGTGTTCCAGGCCGAATGGCCCAACTATACCCAGCAGACACCTGACCCACTCGTGATTTAAAACACAACTCTGGCAATACACCTGGGGTTCGTTCAGGAAGTTGCAACGTCACTGAACGTTCAGATAGAAATGTATGATGTAGAACAGAGACCATTGTCTGTCATGTTGAATAGGTTATTGTATCAGCTCTAGTGATTCTATTTCTATCTGCAACACTGAACATTGTGCCCTAATGAATGAACCCTCCTGTGCATCTCAATACACCTCTTATCCAGCAATTGGTAGTCATTTTGGTTGTCATTTTGTTCTGATTTAGTTTGAATTAGATTTTGAATTAGTCTGCATCTGAGAATCAATGAATGTTTGATTGAGTTGGAAAGGGAGTTAAAATGGGACTTGAAATTGTGATAAACAATGAAAAATATTTGGATTTGATTGATGTCTCTGGATAAGAGCTGCTAAATGACTAAAATGTAAATGTAATGTCTTCCAATTTTACTCCCTATTGGGTTACACTTTACATTACAGTGCCCTTATTACTGTGTCACTTTTTAGGTAATTAAAATCTAACAAGTATAGTGAATTACTCATTATTACACTCTACTTTGGGTTAGGGGTAAGGGGTAGGGTTAAGGATAGGGTTAGGGTTATTGCTACAGTGTAGAGTGTAATCATTAGTTACAACAATACTTTTTACACTGTAATTACATAAGTAGTTACACAGTAATAAGTGCAATGTAATGTAAGTGTTACCACATACTGCACCACTACCAGTAATTCAAGACTGACAATTGTTCACAAAAATAGAATAACATCTGAAAGACTATGAAGACAATATGATCTGTAGTCAATATATCTGTTTATTTATCTAACTTTTTCCCCAAATGCATGAAAAGATAAAGTGAATCAATGAATGCCTATTAATGACTACAATAGATTGATTGGAAATCATTCAAAGTGACATTCATCCAGACATTGGATGAAGTAGGGCTGCATGCATAATCTCATTTCATCATTGTGGTGTTGTCCCTGATGACAGAGTTGATCTAATCAGAGAAGGATCACCTTGAAAGGAGGCCTCCATCTTCCTTTCCATAGTGTGAGATCATTTGTAGATGGTTAATCAGTAGAAGCATATGAGCTTTAAAAATATATATACAAATAGGATTCTCCAATAAAGACAATGAGAAAAAACGACTTCACTGTCAAGGAAATTACTTCACTGCTTGATAAATTCTAGAACTGTTATTTCCCTTTCCCTCGCAATGTAATCAAAGATATGAGTCATCCATAATGTAAACCCAGATCAATTTGTCCATGATGGGGATGGGGTCACAGGTCAAGGATCAGTCATCGTCCCCTCCCACATATCCCCACATCCATCCTTACCATTAGAGTGGGAAACGCAAAACTGACCTCAAATCGGTGCTTACAACTTCCTCCACACCGCCACACAAACACGGTAGAGAGCCAAGTACCTACCATTGGCTCATGTGCTGTCTGTAATAGTGTGACGTGTATAGTCCATTTCCTTCAACGGTGTGTGCAACTATGTCAATCTGTTTATTACCGACATGCAAAATTAGGTGAAAGGTTCAATCTCAAGATGACGCTGTCTCACTACCGAGGGGTAAATGTCACCATTGTTTTAACCCTTTTAGACGTACGTTGTAAATGTAGAGTATATTATTGTATTGAACTTGTTGCTGAAAGTTGGTCAGAATTTGGCTGTATCGAAATAGTTGTGAAACTACTGTTTTAGCCTATATGTAATTGTCTCACTGATTTTATCATGATAGGCTACTACTTGAGGACGAAACCTCGATGTCAATTCGCATTTGTGCATGCGCTGTTGATAAGGCTATCATCCTCTTCTCATCCGATTGATCATCATGGTCATTAGGTATGTCGTAACATAAATGAACTGCTCCCGTATAAAGTAGCATCCCCCGGCGACAGTGGGCATTGCACCTATCGATAGTCGAAGGCATTGTCAAATCTCAGCTCTACAAGTTAATGATTTGCTGTTCACCTCGTACTTAGTACTTGAGCGTGGAGTTTGGATTCTGCCCTCCACACCGATGAACATAATTTGAGTAGCTTCGGGTAGCTGAGCCTTTCATTCTGGCCTGTGAGCGAGTATTCAGTCAACTTTTACCTGCTGTCACCTTCTTGCTCCTAATAGAGTACAAAATGTTAACTCTCTTTGTGCTTTTGCTCTGCATAACATCTTCATTTTCTGCTTCTACTAGAGGTGAGTTATATTTTTTTTTAATGTACCGATATTTGTGATTAATATGTTATTGTATATTGTGTTGGTATGTGATTTGCTTAGAGAGTATGTTAGAAGTTGGGCTCTAGGCCTACAGTCACTGACCTTGGAACTTCTGTCATAAAACCTTTGAATGGTCTTGCAACAGCCAAGAAACCAACAAATCACTTTCACTGGAAATTGATGATTTCACAACACATGTTAGTTCCTAAATTCAATAGTCAAATATATTTTCCTGGTGATGTAATTTGTATACACAACCAATAGTAATTAGTCCCCTAAACATTTGAGGTAACCTGCAGGGTAGATATTGTGGATATTACTGTAGTTGGTGGTAAAGTTGTTTTTTAGGTGCCATATCTATTAATCATAGGCGATATGAATGAAATTATTTCATGTTCAACTTGGTCAGTAGAAACTGAGGCAGTTGACAAAGTGGTTGAATACAGCTGTCTGTGGCAGATTTTGTATGTTTGATTCAGCACTTGGTGATGCAACCCGAAAGTGACACGTCAGTTTTGACTCATGTCCTAATGTCACTTCTTTTGGAATGCTACACTGTATTAGAGCAATAGACCCACAATGTTTACTGTCTCCAGTGTTGATTGTGTCCATCATAAACGTAGACCATAGTAGGTTTAGCTTACAAGGGTTCTCGTAATAATGACACATTATTACAAGCTGCAATTGCACCATCTTGAAGGGCTCACCTTCTGAATCCAGAATGCCTGACAGTATGAATGTATAAATATTACTGTCTGTTTTTAATCATCTGCTACAGAGGATAAGATGTTTGGAAGTATTTTGGCCAAAGCTACACATGGTTTTACACATGTTATAGTCTCGTCCACCTGCCTGATCTCTCTCTGTCGAACAGGTAGCAATTAGCCAGGGCACCAGGTAACGTGTGTAATGGTTAAACGATTAATTGTTGCCTAGCCAAGACATTACACATCTAACAGGGTAATAAATTGCTCCAATCTGAACTCAAGAGCATTCTTTTTATGATTGACATACAAAAGGGGAAGTACTTGACTGCCACAAAGGAGATGATTTGAGGAAAATACCTTAATTCAATCGCTGCTTAATGGTATTCAATATACCAACTATTTTGTTTAGGAGATGTTTTGACAGACATCTCACTCAGAAGTGAGGGCCATTTAGTGTTAATCAGCTTGTTGACATTGTGCAGTTACTGATGAAAGACCTTGATATTTATATAGAGAAACACAGGTCTAAGTGAATCTCAACCCTTTGCGGTCCTCAGTGAGTTTTAAGGGTCTCAGTAGCCATGTTCAAACTGCACTTAGCCCAGGGCAAACAGAAAAGTGACACATGAATATTATACTCCAGAAAAGTGACAGTTGGTTTCAATTAGCCAGGGTTAACAAATGCTTGTGTAAAGGACGTTAAGCTGGCCCTGGGCTAATTTTAACCCAGGGTTAAGGATAGCCCTGGGCTAAGTGAATGCAGTTTGAAAAGGCCTAGTGGGGCTCAGAAAGAAAACAGATTGAGAACCCCTGCTCTGAGTCACTCATATCACTGAGTATTCATCTCACTGTAAATTTTGATCTCACGCTGCAATTCCTGCATGCCCCCTCTTGTTGTTTCAGGTGCTGGTGCTGCTGGACCCAGGCTGAACAATGATCGGTTGTACAAATTCAGCTACACCACCGAGGTGCTGGTGGACAGGGCAAAGGGGTCAAAAGATGGCAATGCCGGCTATAGGATCTCCAGTGACGTGGATGTCAACTTAGTGTGGAGAGACCCCAGCAGCAAGGACGACCAGCTCATACAACTTGTGGTAAATAATCCCACAGCACCACCCCTCGCACCACCTCCTCACCCCGAACCTGACTGCTGATAGCTACATTATTGAGGGAAAAATGTACTTACTATGACTGTGATATGTGGTTGTCCCACCTAGCTATCTTAAGATTAATGCACTAACTGTAAGTCGCTCTTGATAAGTGTCTGCTAAATGACTCAAATGTAAATGACTGTTGGATGGATGTGCCTAAATCCCCCTAAAACCCCAGCCCCTGCACCATATGGGTTTGTATGGATCTGAGAGGATTGTCAATAACACTACCTCGCCTTATGATAGCATAGTTGGAATTTTCACCATATCATGTTGACCTATCCAGTCTTTTCAGCTCTACACAAATGCAGAGGGGGCAGGGAGTAGGGGGTAGGGATTGATTTAGGATTCATTCAGGGTCAGACTGAGAGCCTGTTTTTGTCAAACCTGGTTACATGTTTCCCTGGGATATTGAATTTAAAAAACCCACCTGTTGTTTTGGGAGGGTGCAAGTTGGAGTTTATACATGCAAAACATTGTTTACAATGTGAAAGAAAAGGAAACTCAACCACATATTGATATGATCCTGGGAAAGAGGTTCTTAATGTCCCCTGTAATTGGCTCGAATAGAAAAAAAAGCGTTGTCTGATTGTATAAAAATAGTACTTAAGTTCTCAGACAGGCCCCTTAGGGAGTCTGTTTTTTTTCAATTGTATTTATAAAGGCCTGGGTTCAAATCGTATTTGAATTCTTTTAAATACTTAAGTTGTGCTAAATTGTGCTTGCCTGGCCCAAAAGCAGTCATCTCAAAAGTGCCAACACGCCTGCCTGGCATTCCAGACAGGCTAAACCAAACACTGACAGTTTTTGAAAGATTTTAAATACTATTTCAACCTAAGTCTATACCTTCCATTCTGATTGTATTCTATGGAGAATATTGATATTGAGCTGCTTGAAATGTCCTAAGCTTTTTAGTCACTAACTTTTCCTCTGCCTTTTGAGGAACATGCATCCATGTTATAAATTCTTTCATTTTTTCTTAATGTGACTATGTCCTCCTCCTCCTCCAGATCATCTAACAAGCTCTTCCATTCCCATCCACAGATCTCAAACGTGAAGATAGCAAATGTGGCCCCACGCTCAGCCAAGAAGAACATATTCCAGGGCGCCACAACGCAAAGCCTTCTTGGAGAGAAGAAGCTGGCAGCACTGGAAAGGCCGTTCATGGTGCACCTGAAAAACGGAAAGGTAAGAGCTGTGGACGTTGCTTTGTTTACATTTTTAAATTTTAGTCATTTAGCAGACGCTCTTATCCAGAGCGACTTACAGTTAGTGAGTGCATACATAATTTTTTGTATTTTTCATACTGGCCCCCCGTGGGAATCGAACCCACAACCCTGGCGTTGCAAACGCCATGCTCTACCAACTGAGTTACATCCCTGCCGGCCATTCCCTCCCCTACCCTGGACGACGCTGGGCCAATTGTGCGCCGCCCAATTCGAACCAGGATCTCTAGTGGCACAGCTAGCACTGCGATGCAGTGCCTTAGACCACTGTGCCACTCGGGAGATTGTTTCTATGGAAACAAACAGTTATAAGACATTATAAAGGGGCTCATTAATGCTCATAACTGGTCTTACAAAGAATTAGAACTGCATTATACCTGCAGGCGTTAAGTAAAGTGTTACAGTACATTTTTATTGATGCGTAATGCGAAATTATTGATTGAACTTAAGGCAGTTACTAGGAACATGAATGTCCTTTGGGTATACTGTAGTGGAGATGATCTGCCATAGGTACAGTGGGGAGAACAAGTATTTGATACACTGCCGATTTTGCAGGTTTTCCTACTTACAAAGCATGTAGAGGTCTATAATTTTTATCATAGGTACACTTCAACTGTGAGAGACGGAATCTAAAACAAAAATCCAGAAAATCACATTGTATGATTTCTAAGTAATTAATTTGCATTTTATTGCATGACATAAGTATTTGATACATCAGAAAAGCAGAACTTAATATTTGGTACAGAAACCTTTGTTTGCAATTACAGAGATCATACGTTTCCTGTAGGTCTTGACCAGGTTTGCACACACTGCAGAAGGGTTTTGGCCCACTCCTCCATACAGACCTTCTCCAGATCCTTCAGGTTTCGGGGCTGTCGCTGGGCAATACGGACTTTCAGCTCCCTCCAAAGATGTTCTATTGGGTTCAGGTCTGGAGACTGGCTAGGCCACTCCAGGACCTTGAGATGCTTCTTACGGAGCCACTCCTTAGTTGCCCTGGCTGTGTGTTTCGGGTCGTTGTCATGCTGGAAGACCCAGCCACGACCCATCTTCAATGCTCTTATTGAGGGAAGGAGGTTGTTGGCCAAGATCTCGCGATACATGGCCCCATCCATCCTCCCCTCAATACGGTGCAGTCGTCCTGTCCCCTTTGCAGAAAAGCATCCCCAAAGAATGATGTTTCCACCTCCATGCTTCACGGTTGGGATGGTGTTCTTGGGGTTGTACTCATCCTTCTTCTTCCTCCAAACACGGCGAGTGGAGTTTAGACCAAAAAGCTCTATTTTTGTCTCATCAGACCACATGACCTTCTCCCATTCCTCCTCTGGATCATCCAGATGGTCATTGGCAAACTTCAGACGGGCCTGGACATGCGCTGGCTTGAGCAGGGGGACCATGTAGTGGGGCGTAGTGTGTTACTAATGGTTTTCTTTGAGACTGTGGTCCCAGCTCTCTTCAGGTCATTGACCAGGTCCTGCTGTGTAGTTCTGGGCTGATCCCTCACCTTCCTCATGATCATTGATGCCCCACGAGGTGAGATCTTGCATGGAGCCCCTGACCGAGGGTGATTGACCGTCATCTTGAACTTCTTCCATTTTCTAATAATTGCGCCAACAGTTGTTGCCTTCTCACCAAGCTGCTTGCCTATTGTCCTGTAGTCCATCCCAGCCTTGTGCAGGTCTACAATTTTATCCCTGATGTCTTTACACAGCTCTCTGGTCTTGGCCATTGTGGAGAGGTTGGAGTCTGTTTGATTGTGTGTGGGGACAGGTGTCTTTTATACAGGTAACGAGTTCAAACAGGTGCAGTTAATACAGGTAATGAGTGGAGAACAGGAGGGCTTCTTAAAGAAAAACTAACAGGTCTGTGAGAGACGGAATTCTTACTGGTTGGTAGGTGATCAAATACTTACAGTGGGGAAAAAAAGTATTTAGTCAGCCACCAATTGTGCAAGTTCTCCCACTTAAAAAGATGAGAGAGGCCTGTAATTTTCATCATAGGTACATATCAATTATGACAGACAAATTGAAGAAAAAAAATCCAGAAAATCACATTGTAGGATTTTTTATGAATTTATTTGCAAATTATGGTGGAAAATAAGTATTTCGTCACCTACAAACAAGCAAGATTTCTGGCTCTCACAGACATGTAACTTCTTCTTTAAGAGGCTCCTCTGTCCTCCACTCGTTACCTGTATTAATGGCACCTGTTTGAACTTGTTATCAGTATAAAAGACACCTGTCCACATCCTCAAACAGTCACACTCCAAACTCCACTATGGCCAAGACCAAAGAGCTGTCAAAGGACACCAGAAACAAAATTGTAGACCTGCACCAGGCTGGGAAGACTGAATCTGCAATAGGTAAGCAGCTTGGTTTAAAGAAATCAACTGTGGGAGCAATTATTAGGAAATGGAAGACATACAAGACCACTGATAATTTCCCTCGATCTGGGGCTCCACGCAAGATCTCACCCCGTGGGGTCAAAATGATCACAAGAACGGTGAGCAAAAATCCCAGAACCACACGGGGGGGCCTAGTGAATGACCTGCAGAGAGCTGGGACCAAAGCAACAAAGCCTACCATCAGTAACACACTACGCCGCCAGGGACTCAAATCCTGCAGTGCAAGACGTGTCCCCCTGCTTAAGCCAGTACATGTCCAGGCCTGTCTGAAGTTTGCTAGAGTGCATTTGGATGATCCAGAAGAGGATTGGGAGAATGTCAGATGAAACCAAAATATAACTTTTTGGTAAAAACTCAACTCGTCGTGTTTGGAGGACAAAGAATGCTGAGTTGCATCCAAAGAACACCATACCTACTGTGAAGCATGGGGGTGGAAACATCATGCTTTGGGGCTGTTTTTCTGCAAAGGGACCAGGACGACTGATCCGTGTAAAGGAAAGAATGAATGGGGCCATGTATTGTGAGATTTTGAGTGAAAACCTCCTTCCATCAGCAAGGGCATTGAAGATGAAACGTGGCTGGGTCTTTCAGTATGACAATGATCCCAAACACACCGCCCGGGCAACGAAGGAGTGGCTTCGTAAGAAGCATTTCAAGGTCCTGGAGTGGCCTAGCCAGTCTCCAGATCTCAACCCCATAGAAAATCTTTGGAGGGAGTTGAAAGTCTGTGTTGCCCAGCGACAGCCCCAAAACATCACTGCTCTAGAGGAGATCTGCATGGAGGAATGGGCCAAAATACCAGCAACAGTGTGTGAAAACCTTGTGAAGACTTACAGAAAACGTTTGACCTGTGTCATTGCCAACAAAGGGTATATAACAAAGTATTGAGAAACTTGTGTTATTGACCAAATACTTATTTTCCACCATAATTTGCAAATAAATTCATTAAAAATCCTACAATGTGATTTTCTGGATTTTTTTTTCTAATTTTGTCTGTCATAGTTGACGTGTACCTATGATGAAAATTACAGGCCTCTCTCATCTTTTTAAGTGGGAGAACTTGCACAATTGGTGGCTGACTAAATACTTTTTTTCCCCACTGTATGTCATGCAATAAAATACTAATTATTTACTTAAAAATCATACAACGTGATTTTCTGGATTTTTGTTTTAGATTCCGTCTCTCACAGTTGAAGTGTACCTATGATAAAAATTACAGACCTTAGATTCTTTGTAAGTAGGAAAACCTGCAAAATCGGCAGTGTATCAAATACATGTTCTCCCCACTGTATATGTAGTAAAATGTATAGGTAGTAGGATGTTTAATTGTTACCAGAAGTATACTTGATATACTACAAATAGCTATTTTTCTATCATTGTAGTACTTTTGCTGTTATATCTTCATAGGTCAATAGTCATAAAAGTATTGTTTAATTTTACATTTATTTCTATATCAACCATCACTTTTACTATAATCAGTCAAGCTAAAAAATACTAAATCTAGTATGGGAGCCATTTCTGGAGCATAATTGATGACATCCGTATTGCCGGGGACTATTAATGGAGCAGTAATTGGCAATGTGTTAGTGTGGTGACGCTGGAAGGGGAAATACCAGACAGATGGTGTGTACGTGCAAAGTCAATCCTTCAGATTGCCAGCCGGCCGGTTATCAGATCCCACGGGAGACTAGTGTGGGGGCATTGGCGTGGCAAAGTAGCACCATTTCTTGATGACAAAGACAGGGTGAGATGAATACCGGTTGATCAGTGGATATCCTGTCTTGTACTGTGGTTGAATGCATTGTGATCAGCTAAATCTGTTATGAAAATAGTAAGAATTTAGCACTGGACTGTACATATTGAAACTAAATGTATCTCATAGTATTACAAACTATAATAAGTGATTACATACACTCACCGGCCAGTTTATTAGGTACACCCATCTAGTAACGGGTCAGACCCCCTTTGCGTTCCTTAGGGATGTTCCACAGGGATGTTGGTCTATGCTGACTCGATGGCATCACGAAGTTGATGCAGATTGGACGCCTGTTATCTTATCCTTGGACCTCTCTCATCAACAAGCTCATTTCGCCCAAAGTACTGCCGTTGACTGGATGTTTTTGTTTGTCGAACCATTCTCGGTAAACCCTAGTCACAGTCATGCGTGAAAAACCCAGGATGGCGGCCATTTCTGAGATACTTGATCCAGCACGCCTGGCAACGACGATCATACCATGCTCAAAGTCGCTTAGGTCACTTGTTTTACCCATTCTAACGTTCAATCAAACAGTAATAGAATGCATTGATGCCTGTCTGCCTGCTTTATATTACAAGCCACGGCCACGTGATTCACTGTCTGTAGGAGCGATCCATTTTCGTGATCAGGGTGGTGTACCTAATAAAAGATAATGAAAGAGTGACAAGATTTTGAAACTTTTGTGATAATGGTGACCTTAGGGTGACAATGTGTTTGTTTGTTTTTACTACAATGTGATTTATTGTTGACAACCTTCGTACTTCTGTATTGTATTTTGGACTTTTATTGGTGCAGTCTCTGCTATGTTAGACATGGTTTTTCAAATAAAGCTTTCTATTTCTCCGAGTTGATAAAGGCTGAATATGGACAAATAAGGTTAAAGAAAGTTATAGTCTTCAACAAATATATTAAATATAGCCTAATCAATCTAGTAATTTAATCTAAACCTCAAAGTGTGGTTTACAGTATGATGCCCTGAGTTGAGTGGAATACGCTGTGAAAGTGAATAAGACATTTGTTTGATAGTGTCTGACTGCGGAATGTGTCTTGGGTTGCGTTCCTTGCCAAGAAAATGACACTCTTATTGGCCCCTGCTCCAAGCCATGGGCATACCTTGCCAAGAGAAAAGGAACTCCCTCGCAAGGAACACCCTCAAGACGCAGTCCACAGTCAGACCCTACGTAGTCAGACCCTTTTCCATTTGTTGACATCTCCATCATTATCTGAGACACTTAGATCATGTTAATCTGAGAAAACTACAGCTAATTTCACTGTTCTGTCGCTTGACTCTAGTGCATTGTTACTATGCACGCTTTAAGCAAATAAGAAGTCACTTTTGTATCGTATTGACTTGTTTGTTGTTCCATGCCTCTGTTTCAGGTGAGCAGCTTTTACAGCTATAAGGCGGAGCCTGCTTCCATTAAGAACTTGAAGAGGGGTGTGGCCAGCCTGCTACAGGTGCAATCCAGATCTGGGAAGGTCATAGAGGTAAATGAGAACCAATACATATACAGTTACAGGAAATCGTGGAAACGTTTTTATTTTTACTCTGCAGTCCTATTTTAGCAGGCACTTACTAAGAGATGATGTGATAACTTTTGAGTAATTTTTAACAAACTCAATTGGTAACCACCGCAGTGTACCAAATTGATTATATATATGATTTTTGTTTCAATGATTCCTAGAGAAACCAAAAAGTAATTATAAGGGGATAATCATGTAATGACCATTTTATCATGTCATAAAAATTAAAAATTAAATAAATAATGCACTGTAAAATAAATGTTTGACCAAAAACACAGTCATAAGTTTGCAATGAATTCTCTATGTAAATCATTCGACTAATTGCTTCAAAACATTTTTCAATGGTTTGCTGTATGAGTACTTTTTGTTGGCTGACTGATCTGTCTGGTCTGGGAACAGAATGACGTGTCCGGGAGGTGTACGGTAGAGTACAAGGCTGCCCAGGGCCAGGTGACAAGGACCAAGGCTTTGGAGACCTGCAAGACCGCAGAGACCGGCTTCACTACCTACATTCAGGTCCTGGGCGTGAGTGGGGAGTCCAGCTCTGTCACTGTTTTCACCCTGGAGGATGGCTTCATTAAGTCAGCCATAGCCAAGGAGACTCACATCTTAGCAGTCAATGCACGCCGCACCACCGCAGCTAAAATAGTGTCCAGGTAAAGAATTCTGCTGTAAACTTTGAGGCAATAGATTTTTTTTCTTCTTCTTTTGTTTACTTAATTAATCCATCACATGCATTCTTTCAGTGTGAAAGTAGTTGTTTTTTCACTTATTGATTGAATAGGCTTTCTGAAAACATCAATTGCAAGGAACAGAAACTGATTGATTTGATGGATTTGTTCGTTTATATGGTCCTCAGGCAAAGCTTGACACTGGTAACAATTGAGACTGGGCCGTTTGAAGCTGCTGGGAAGAATGTCGCCAGTGTTGTCAAATCACTGGATGAGAAATTGTTTGCTGTTGGTGTGGCAGCTGAGAAGGTCAAATCCCAATGCAAGGGCTGTCAATCGGTAAGTGGTTGTGAGAAGCAATAAAGTAAAGAAAGTGCTTCCCGTTGTTTTCAACCTTGGAACACTGACTTTTTCCTCTGAAAGGTTCCAATATAACATATCTTCAATTCAGCTTTTGTATTGACTGCCAAACCAAATGCTTCAAAAATTACTCTTTACTAAAGAATAAGTAAAAAGGGCAGAGGAAAACTGTACTGTGCTGGCCTGGTTGATTGCTGGAATGGTGCTAGAATGAAATGATCAGTGCCAGCACAGTACGGGGTGTTACAATAGTGTGAAAAGCCCTTATGTGTAGTCTGAATTTACCAACACTATACCACACTATCGATACATGTCCTTGCTGACCAAACATATAATTAAGAAATTACTATTTTTCCTTTATTTTCCTCTTCTTTGCCCATCCCGCTAGCTGTTTGAGCACTGGCAGGCAGTCCAGAAGCAGTTTGAACCAGATAGCTTGTCAAAGGCCATCGCTCCCCGAAGCTTCCTGGCTCTCATCCAGAGCATAAGGAAAGCCTCCAAGGACGAGATCCTCCAAGTGCTGAAGAGCTCCAGCAAGACTGCCCTGTAAGGCCTAGCACTTACTCACTTCTCTGTCTCTCTCTCCCTCCTTTTTTTTCTCTTTCTGTCTGCCTCTTTCTCTCCTCTTTTTTTCTATTTTTGTCTTTCCCTCTTCAGTCAGTCTTTCTTCTCTCTATTTTCACTTCTCTTCTATCGCTCTTTCTCTTCTCAATCTCTCATTTTCTCTTTTTCTGTATGTGTCTCTCTTTTTCTCTCTCTCTCAGGCTGTGATGCTTTCTTATGAGATGTAGAGACTCCTCAACCCATTTCCTTGCTGTCTGTCTCACGCCCCATGTTTATTTTGCCAGAGCCTCATAGTGCACTATATAGGGAATATGGCACCATTTTGGATATGACTTCTGACTCACCACCTCTCTCCAACTCTCTCGGGGTCTGCAGACCTCAGGTGGTGGACGCCGTGACCTCGTCCCAGACGCCCGCATCCCTGGACGCCATGCTGCAGTTCCTCAACTTTGCCGACCCCAAAGGCCTGGTTTTGCAGGAGAGGTTCCTGTACGCCTGCGGCTTCGCCTCGCACCCCAACGAGAGAATGCTCCAGGCTTTGGTGGTGAGTGGCCAATGGCTGCCTCTTGCTCAAACTCTACAATCTTAGGGTGCATTCAAACCAAAATGATTTAAATGCATGTCGAACACAGCAGGATGGGGAGAAATTATTCGGTAAAAAGTCAGTTCTACGTTTTCAATTGGTTAGACAGATACGTCATTGTGACTTCTGACCGACAGCGCAACACAACACTAGACCCTCCCCCAACGCACTGCTCCCAGTTAAAATCATTGAGTTATTTACGTATCAGTTTTTTTCTGGTTTGAAAGCACCCTTATGCTCATCATCAGGGCAATATTCAGTAAGCACATTAGCAGAACGTTTTACAACCTTACATTTACATTTTAGTCATTTAGCAGACACTCTTATCTAGAGCGACCTACAGTTAGTGCAATCATCTTAAGATAGCTAGGTGGGACAACCACATATCACAGGCATAGAAAGTACATTTTTCCTCAATAACGTAGCTATCAGTAGAGTCAGAGCTAGAAGGGGGGGGGGGGGTCAACTGCAAGTGTTGGTAAATTAATTAATTAATTAAATAAAAATATATATTTTTTTTCAACCTTGCCATTTGAATATGATCACGACCCAGCTCTCTCAATGCACCCTTCATGACATTGTTGATTGTAGCATTTCTGTGGCTCAATCTGACTATGTCCTGTGGTGCGATAAAGGAAATAACACACACACACACACACAGATTTTGTGGGGCAGTGGTTTCTCTTTCTCTTAGATTTTGCACCTACTCTTCCTCTCAAACGACTTTGAGAGGAAGTTGCAATTATATTTAAAATTGTTTTTTTTTGTGTACTGTATGATGATAAAACATATGACAATAATGACACGCATTGTTTTTTCAGGACATTTCAAAGGGCAAGATTGGCAGTAACGACATCAAAGAATCGGTGGTGATCATCATGGGTGCCCTTGTGCACAAGCTCTGTCAGAAAGGAGGTTGTGAGCTACCAGTGAGTAAAGTTATCGAATATGTTTGAGCCTATGACTGTAATGATGGAATCGTACAAAACTAATTCTTAAAGGGATTAACACATTTTTGAAAACTTCATATTCATCATCTTCAGCACCACCCCAACATCAACATATGTGAAAATGGCGTGTTTCTACGTTTTATAGTTCAAAAGATGGAGGAAGATAAGTGTTTCCGATGACATCATCTGGTGTGCATCATGTGGTTTTAACCAACTATGAGTAGGCATTGTCTCGATGAATATGAAGTAGAAATTTGTTTTAATGTCCCTTTTAAGCAATTTAATCATCTTCAACCAAGAAAATACTGATTGGACTTTTTTAACTGAGCCAGAAATACCTTATTTTTATTGTAATGTCAGACTGGAATTGTGAAGTGAGACGTAGCTGTGTCTGATGGTTTAAAAATATACAGAAATGATCCCTCTATGATTCTCATGTGAAATGCACCAAAGAAAGTCATAATATCTTAAAAGGAACTATACAATGGCTGATTCATTGTGTGTGTTTTTGTCCCATGTCCAACCCAGACTGTGGTTGAGGTGAAGAAGATGATTCTGGAAGGTCCCGACAGTACGCAGGCAGAGTCAGACGTTCAGATGTACCTGCTAGCGCTGAAGAACTCCCTGTTGCCCGAGGCCATTCCCCTGTTTTCCAAATACGCTGAGTCGGAGGTCGGGGCCTACTGCACCATCTCCCTCACAGCCCTGCAGAGATACGACGTCGCTCTCATCACAGACGAGGTAAGGCCATTTGACGTCTAAATTCACAAGGGAATTGCCTGATAACCATTCATGAGGGAAGCTGGATTGCCATTCCCAGAGCCATATATTTAGATATATTTATCTTATTTCGATATACACTGAGATTACCAAAAGTATGTGGACACCTGCTGTAACGTAACAAAATGTGGAAAAGTCATATACTGTTGTATATACCAACCATGGTAGAGTGGCCAGATGGAAGCCACTCCTCAGTAAAAGGCACATGACAGCCCGCTTGGAGTTTGCCAAAAGGCACCTAAAGCACTCTCAGACCATGAGAAACAAGATTCTCTGGTCTGATGAAACCAAGATTGAACTCTTTGGCCTGAATGCCAAGCCTCACGTCTGAAGGAAACCTGGCACAATCTCTACGGTGAAGCATGGTGGTGGCAGCATCATGCTGTGGGGATGTTTTTCAGCGGCAGTGACTGGGAGACTAGTCAGGATTGAGGGAAAGACAAGTACAGAGAATTCCTTGATGAAAACCTGCTCCAGAGCTCTCAGGACCTCAGCCAAGACATTGCAGGAGTGGCTTCGGGACAAGTGTCTGAATGTCCTTGAGTGGCCCAACCAGTGCCCGGACTTGAACCCGATAGAACATCTCTGGAGAGACCTGAAAATAGCTGTGCAGCAACGCTCCCCATCCAACCTGACAGAGCTTGAGATGATCTGCAGAGAAGAATGGGAGAAACTCCACAAATACAGGTGCGCCAAGCTTGTAGCGTCATACCCAAGAAGATTAGAGACTGTAATTGCTGCCAAAGGTGCTTCAACAAAGTACTGAGTAAAGGGTCTGAATACTTATGTAAATGTGATATTGAGGGGGAACAAATAATTTAATACATTTTAGAATAAGGCTGTAACCTAACAAAATGTGGAAAAGTCAAGGGGTCTGAATACTTTCCGAATGCTCTCTCTCGCTCTCATTTATTTATTTATATAATATATATATATATATACACTACCGTTCAAAGGTTTGGGGTCACTTAGACATGTCCATTTAAAATAACATCAAATTGATCAGAAATACAGTGTAGACATTGTTAATGTTGTAAATGGCTATTGTAGCTGGAAACTGCTGTTTTTTTTATGGAATATCTACATAGGCGTACAGAGGCCCATTATCAGCAACCATCAGTCCTGTGTTCCAATGGCACGTTGTGTTTGCTAATCCAAGTTTATCATTTTAAAAGGCTAATTGATCATTAGAAAACCCTTTTGCAATTATGTTAGCACAGCTGAAAACTGTTGTGCTGTTTAAAGAAGCAATAAAACTGGCCTTCTTGAGACTAGTTGAGTATCTGGAGCATCAGCAATTGTGGGTTCGATTACAGGCTCAAAATGGCCAGAAACAAAGACAATTCTTCTGAAACTTGTCAGTCTATTCTTGTTCTGAGAAATTAAGGCTATACCATGCGAGAAATTGGCAAGAAACTGAAGATCTTGTACAACGCTGTGTACTACTCCCTTCACAGAACAGCGCAAACTGTCTCTAACCAGAATAGAAAGAGGAGTGCGAGGCCCCAGTGCAAAACTGAGCAAGAGGACAAATACATTAGTGTCTAGTTTGAGGAACAGACACCTCACTGGTCCTCAACTGGCAGCTTCATTAAATAGTACCCGCAAAACCCCAGTCTCAACGTCAACAGTGAAGAGGCGACTCCGGGATGCTAACCTTCAAGGCAGAGTTGCAAAGAAAAAGCCATATCTCAGACTGGCCAATGAAAATAAAATATTAAGATGGGCAAAAGAACACAGACACTGGACAGAGGAAGATTGGAAAAAAGTGTTATGGACAGACGAATCGAAGTTTGAGGTGTTCGGATCACAAAGAAGAACATTTTTGATACGCAGACCAAATGAAAAGATGCTGGAGGAGTGCTTGATGCCATCTATCAAGCATGGTGGAGGCAATGTGATGGTCTGGGTGTGCTTTGGTGGTGGTAAAGTGGGAGATTTGTACAGGGTAAAAGGGATCTTGAAGAAGGAAGGCTATCACTCCATTTTGCAATGCCATGCCATACCCTGTGGACGGCGCTTGATCGTAGCCAATTTCCTCCTACAACAGGACAATGACCCAAAGCACAGCTCCAAACTATGCAATAACTATTTAGAGAAGAAGCAGTCAGCTGGTATTCTGTCTATAATAGAGTGGCCAGCACAGTCACCGGATCTCAAACCTATTGAGCTGTTGTGGGAGCAGCTTGACCGTATGGTACGTAAGAAGTGCCCATCAAGCCAATCCAACTTGTGGGAGGTGCTTCAGGAAGCATGGGGTGAAATCTCTTCAGATGACCTCAACAAATTGACAACTAGAATGCCAAAGGTCTGTAAGGCTGTAATTGCTGCAAATGGAGGATTATTTGACGAAAGCTAATTTTGAAGGACACTCATTATTTCTAACCTTGTCAATGACTACATTTCCTATTCATTTTGCTATATTTCCTATTCAAACTCATTTCATGTATGTTTTCATGGAAACCAAGGAAATATCTAAGTGACCCCAAACTTTTGAACTGTAGTGAACACATATGGAATCAAAAAAGTGTTAAACAAATCAAAATATATTTTATATTTGAGATTCTTCAAATAGCCACCCTTTGCCTTGATGACAGCTTTGCACACTCTTGGCATTCTCTCAACCAGCTTCATGAGGTTGTCACCTGGAATACATTTCAATTAACAGGTGTGCCTTCTTCAAAGTTAATTTGTGGAATTTCTTTTCTTCTTAAGGCGTTTGAACCAATCAATTGTGTTGTGACAAGGTAGGGGGTGGATGTACAGAAGACAGCCCTATTTGGTAAAAGACCAAGTCCATATTATTTCAAGAACAGCTCAAATAAGCAAAGAGAAATGACAGTCCATCATTACTTTTAAGACATGAAGGTCAGTCAATACGGAAACTTTCAAGAACTTTGAAAGTTTCTTCAAGTGCAGTCGCAAAAACCATCAAGTGCTATGATGAAACTGGCTCTCATGAGGACCAGCACAGGAAAGGAAGACCCAGAGTTAACACTGATACAGAGGATAAGTTCATTAGAGTTACCAGCCTCAGAAATTGAAGCCCAAATAAATGTTCAAGTCACAGACACATCTCAACATTAACTGTGCAGAGGGGACTGTGTGAATCAGGCCTTCGTGGTCGAATTGCTGCAAAGAAACCACTACTAAAGGACACCAATAATAAGAAGAGACCTGCTTGGGCCAAGAAACACGAGCAATGGACATTAGACCGGTGGACATTTGTTGTTTGGTCTGGAATCCAAATGTGAGATTTTAGGTTCCAACCACTGTGTCTTTGTGAGACACGGTGTGGGTGAACGGATGATCTCCGTATGTTTAAATAATATAATAATATGCCATTTAGCAGACGCTTTTATCCAAAGCGACTTACAGTCATGTGTGCATACATTTTTACGTATGGGTGGTCCCGGGGATCGAACCCACTACCCTGGCGTTACAAGCGCCATGCTCTACCAATTGAGCTACAGAGGTAATTCCCACCGTAAAGCATGGAGGAGGAGGTGTTATGGTGTGGGGGTGCTTTTCTGGTGACACTGTCTGTGATTTATTTAGAATTCAAGGCACACTTAACCAGCATGGCTACTACAGCATTCTGCAGCGATACGCCATCCCATCTGGTTTGGTCTTAGTGGGACTATCATTTGTTTTTCAACAGGACAATGACCCAACACACCTCCAGGCTGTGTAAGGGCTATTTTACCAAGAAGGAGAGTGATGGAGTGCTGCATCAGATGACCTGGCCTCCACCATCCCCTGACCTCAACCCAATTGAGATGGTTTGGGATGAGTCGGACAGCAGAGTGAAGGAAAAGCAGCCAACAAGTGCTCAGCATATGTGGGAACTCCTTTCAAGAGTGTTGGAAAAGCATTCTAGGTGAAGCTGGTTGAGAGAATGCCAATGCTTTGCACACAGCTGTCATCAAGGCAAAGGGTGGCTATTTGAAGAATCTCAAATATATCATATACAGTGAGGGAAAAATATATTTGATCCCCTGCTGATTTTGTACGTTTGCCCACTGACAAAGAAATGATTAGTCTATAATTTTAATGGTAGGTTTGATTGAACAGTGAGAGACAGAATAACAACAAAAAAATCCAGAAAAACACATGTCAAAAATGTTATAAATTGATTTGCATTTTAATGAGGGAAATAAGTATTTGACCCCCTCTCAATCAGAATGATTTCTGGCTCTCAGGTGTCTTTTTATACAGGTAACGAGCTGAGATTAGGAGCACACTCTTAAAGGGAGTGCTCCTAATCTCAGTTTGTTACCTGTATAAAAGACACCTGTCCACAGAAGCAATCAATCAATCAGATTCCAAACTCTCCACCATGGCCAAGACCAAAGAGCTCTCCAAGGATGTCAGGGACAAGATTGTAGACCTACACAAGGCTGAAATGGGCTACAAGACCATCGCCAAGCAGCTTGGTGAGAAGGTGACAACAGTTGGTGCGATTATTTGCAAATGGAAGAAACACAAAAGAACTGTCAATCTCCCTCGGCCTGGGGCTCCATGCAAGATCTCACCTCGTGGAGTTGCAATGATCATGAGAACGGTGAGGAATCAGCCCAGAACTACACGGGAGGATCTTGTCAATGATCTCAAGGCAGCTGGGACGATAATCACCAAGAAAACAATTGGTAACACACTATGCCGTGAAGGACTGACATTTTGCAGCGCCCACAAGGTCCCCCTGCTCAAGAAAGCACATATACAGGGCCGTCTGAAGTTTGCCAATGAACATCTGAATGAATCAGAGGAGAACTGGGTGAAAGTGTTGTGGTCAGATGAGACCAAAATCGAGCTCTTTGGCATCAACTCAACTCGCCGTGTTTGGAGGAGGAGGAATGCTGCCTATGACCCCAAGAACACCATCCCCATCATCAAACATGGAGGTGGAAACATTATGCTTTGGGGGTGTTTTTCTGCTAAGGGGACAGGACAACTTCACCGCATCAAAGGGACGATGGACGGGGCCATGTACCGTCAAATCTTGGGTGAGAACCTCCTTCCCTCAGCCAGGGCATTGAATATGGGTCGTGGATGGGTATTCCAGCATGACAATGACCCAAAACACACGGCCAAGGCAACAAAGGAGTGGCTCAAGAAGAAGCACATTAAGGTCCTGGAGTGGCCTAGCCAGTCTCCAGACCTTAATCCCATAGAAAATCTGTGGAGGGAGCTGAAGGTTTGAGTTGCCAAACGTCAGCCTCGAAACCTTAATGACTTGGAGAAGATCTGCAAAGAGGAGTGGGACAAAATCCCTCCTGAGATGTGTGCAAACCTGGTGGCCAACTACAAGAAACATCTGACCTGTGTGATTGCCAACAAGGGTTTTGCCACCAAGTACTAAGTCATGTTTTGCAGAGGGGTCGAATACTTATTTCCCTCATAAAAATGCAAATAAATTAATAACATTTTTGACATACGTTTTTCTGGATTTTGTTGTTGTTATTCTGTCTCTCACTGTTCAAATAAACCTACCATTAAAATTATAGACTGATCATGTCTTTGTCAGTTGGCAAACCTACAAAATCAGCAGGGGATCAAATACTTTTTTCCCTCACCGTGTGTGTAAATATATATATATATATATATATATATATATATATATATATATATATATATATATATATATATATATATATATATATATATATATATATATACAGTGGGGAAAAAAAGTATTTAGTCAGCCACCAATTGTGCAAGTTCTCCCACTTAAAAAGATGAGAGAGGCCTGTAATTTTCATCATAGGTACACAGGTAAAAATCCAGAAAATCACATTGTAGGATTTTTAATGAATTTATTTGCAAATTATGGTGGAAAATAAGTATTTGGTCAATAACAAAAGTTTCTCAATACTTTGTTATATACCCTTTGTTGGCAATGACACAGGTCAAACGTTTTCTGTAAGTCTTCACAAGGTTTTCACACACTGTTGCTGGTATTTTGGCCCATTCCTCCATGCAGATCTCCTCTAGAGCAGTGATGTTTTGGGGCTGTCGCTGGGCAACACGGACTTTCAACTCCCTCCAAAGATTTTCTATGGGGTTGAGATCTGGAGACTGGCTAGGGCACTCCAGGACCTTGAAATGCTTCTTACGAAGCCACTCCTTTGTTGCCCGGGCGGTGTGTTTGGGATCATTGTCATGCTGAAAGACCCAGCCACGTTTCATCTTCAATGCCCTTGCTGATGGAAGAAGGTTTTCACTCAAAATCTCACGATACATGGCCCCATTCATTCTTTCCTTTACACGGATCAGTCGTCCTGGTCCCTTTGCAGAAAAACAGCCCCAAAGCATGATGTTTCCACCCCCATGCTTCACAGTAGGTATGGTGTTCTTTGGATGCAACTCAGCATTCTTTGTCCTCCAAACACGACGAGTTGAGTTTTTACCAAAATGTTTTATTTTGGTTTCATCTGACCATATGACATTCTCCCAATCCTCTTCTGGATCATCCAAATGCACTCTAGCAAACTTCAGACGGGCCTGGACATGTACTGGCTTAAGCAGGAGGACACGTCTGGCACTGCAGGATTTGAGTCCCTGGCGGCGTAGTGTGTTACTGATGGTAGGCTTTGTTACTTTGGTCCCAGCTCTCTGCAGGTCATTCACTAGGTCCCCCCGTGTGGTTCTGGGATTTTTGCTCACCGTTCTTCTGATCATTTTGACCCCACGGGGTGAGATCTTGCGTGGAGCCCCAGATCGAGGGAGATTATCAGTGGTCTTGTATGTCTTCCATTTCCTAATAATTGCTCCCACAGTTGATTTCTTCAAACCAAGCTGCTTTCCTATTGCAGATTCAGTCTTCCCAGCCTGGTGCAGGTCTACAATTTTGTTTCTGGTGTCCTTTGACAGCTCTTTGGTCTTGGCCATAGTGGAGTTTGGAGTGTGACTGTTTGAGGTTGTGGACAGGTGTCTTTTATACTGATAACAAGTTCAAACAGGTGCCATTAATACAGGTAACGAGTGGAGGACAGAGGAGCCTCTTAAAGAAGAAGTTACAGGTCTGTGAGAGTCAGAAATCTTGCTTGTTTGTAGGTGACCAAATACTTATTTTCCACCATCATTTGCAAATAAATTCATCAAAAATCCTACAATGTGATTTTATGGAGAAAAAAAATCTCAATTTGTCTGTCATAGTTGACATGTACCTATGATGAAAATTACAGGCCTCTCTCATCTTTTTAAGTGGGAGAATTTGCACAATTGGTGGCTGACTAAATACTTTTTTCCCCCACTGTATATATGTATATATACAGGTGTGTGCCTTTCCAAATCATGTCCAATCAATTGAATTTACCACAGGTGGACTCCAATCAAGTTGTAGAAACATCTCAAGGATGATCAATGGAAAAAGGATGCACCTGAGCTCAATTTCGAGTCTCATAGCAGAGGGTCTGAATACTTATATAAATAAAGTATTTCAGTTTTGTATTTTTAATGAATTTGCAAAAATGTCTAAAAACCTGTTTTCACTTTGTCATTATGGGGTATTGTGTGTAGATTGCTGAGTTTGTTTATTTTTATTTAATCAATTTTAATATAATAAGGCTGTAATGTAATAAAATGTGGAAAAAGTCAAGGGGTCTGAATACTTTCCGAAGGCACTGTATATAATAGTATTTTCAGATTTGATTGAACAGATAGATGATAGCAGTGTGGAACTATAGTGAGAAGTCGTGTAAAAGGGCAGTAGGTCGGGTTCAAACTCATGCCGACATCGTAGACATGTGTGCCCGGAGATTGCGGCATTAGCGCTAGACCAGCCTGGCAACCAAAACTGATATTTTAAACTGTTGTCGTGCCTCACTCCATTTCAGGTGAAGCAGACAGTGAACCGAGTTTACCACCAGAACCGCCGGGTCTACGAGAAGAATGTGAGGGCAGCAGCCGCGGACGTGGTCCTCAGCAGCAACCCCTCATACATGGAGGTGAAGAACGTGCTCCTGTCCATCGGAAACCTGCCCAAAGAGTTGAACAAGTACATGCTTTCCAAGGTCAAGGACATCCTCCACTTTGAAATGCCTGCCAGGTGGGTGATGGGATTTACATTTGATTTGATGATTTGTGGGTATTTTCATTTTATTCAGACAGAAATAGCACTAAATGAGTGGGGAGACTAGCGGTGGGGCTGGGATTCGTACCCACACTGGGGTGATGTATATGTGGTGCAGGCAGTGGCGTTACTTGCTAGACCAGCAGGCACTCATTAGATTTTATTTATTTGACAATTAAAAACCTAAGTTGAAGGCAGGCATTACTTACAGTGAGCTCCAAAAGTATTGGGACAGTAACACATTTTGTTGTTGTTTTGGCTCTGTACTCCAGCACTTGGGATTTGAAATGATACAATGATTATGAGGTTAAAGTGCAGACTGTCAGCTTTAATTTGAGGGTATTTCCATCCATATCAGGTGAACCGTTTAGAAATTACAGCAATTTTTGTAGTCCTCCCATTTTAGGGGACCTGAGTGTACAAAACATAAAGAATAGCCCCCCCAACCCTCCTCATAATAGCCTCAATTCATTGGGGCATTGTCTCTACAAGGTGTCGAAAGCGTTCCACAGGGATGCTGGCCCATGTTGGACTCCAATGCTTCCCACAGTTGTCAAGTTGGCTGAATGTCCTTTGGGTGGTGGACCATTCTTGATACACACGGGAAACGGTTGAGCGTGAAAAACCCAGCAGCGTTGCAGTTCTTGACACAAACCGGTGGTACCTACTACCAGTCCGGTCTCGAGACCACATATTGAGTGTCTTGGTGTCGGATACATTTGTACTTGGTCTTGACTCTGTCTCGGACAGTGAGGACTCGTAATTTCTTGCCGAGACCAGCGGAGTAAAAAACTCATAATTATCAGCTTTCATTTAGTCAGTGCATAAAACCGCTTCGCCAGGCCAACTATATGCACTCCTTTCTTGAAACATTAATATCTTAACAGCCTTTATATCTATTATAGACATGTTTGCGCAGTGGCGAACCTATAGGCCTTTAGTGTGGGACAGGTTCGTGATTGTGAAAGGACAGCAACCATAATACCAGCGCACTCATGTAGGAGAGTGCACTTTTTGTGAAACACAAAGGGCCAGTGGTGTATCCCTACTTCTTAATCCGTATTGATGCGTATCAAAGTAGTGTAGTGGAGGTATACGATTGATCAATTATGTCGTACAATAGAGAAATCATGCACAAAGTAGCTTATGTGATGGTCCAGAGGGTGGTGCGGTCTGCCCAACGCATCACCGAGGGCACACTGCCTGCCCTCCTGGACACCTACAGCACCCGATGTCACAGGAAGGCCAAAAATATAATCAAGGACATCAACCACCCGAGCCACGGCCTGTTCACCCCGCTATCATCCAGAAGGCAAGGTCAGTACAGGTTAATCAATGCTGGGACTGAGAGACTGAAAAACTGCTTCTATCTCAAGGCCATCAGACTGTTAAATAGCCATCACTAGCCGGCTACCACATGGTTACTCAACCCTGCACCTTAGAGGCTGCTGCCCTATATACATAGACATGAAATCACTGGTCACTTTAATAATGGAACACAAGTCACTTTAATAATGTTTAAGTACTGCTTTACTCATCTCATATGTATATACTGTATTCTATTCTACTGTATTTTAGTCAATGCCACTCCGACATTGCTCGTCCTAATATTTATATTTTTCTTAATTTGATTATTTTACTTTTAGATTTGCGTTTATTGTTGTGAATTGTTCGATACTACTCCACTGTTGGAGCTAGGAACACAATCATTTTGCTACACCCACAATATCATCTGCTAAATATGTGTGTGACCAATAAAATGTGATTTGATTTTTACACATTCGCAAAGCACGTGAAATAGATTCACATGCGCACCGCACACATAGCCTAGTTTTAGCGGAATATCATCTGCAGGCAGCAAGAGTGTGCAGTTTTCAACTGGTTTTGGCATGGAGCAGCTCACAGAATAATTACATCAGTAGCCGGTAGGCTAGGAAATATGTTTTAATTTATGATATCTACCAGTAAATGCTAACTAAGGCAACAATGGGTATGCAAACCAGGTATTAACTTTAGTCTGAAGTGTTGGTTAGTAGGCTATTTGTGATGCGCAATTGTCATCATGCGCTGTTTGCATCAGTGGCGTAAACATGGATGGGCATTGGTGGACAGAGGCCCACCCACTGGGGAGCCAGGCCCTGACAGACCCACCCAATTAGATTGATGTGGTTTAAGCATTGTTGTGGACTTAGACCATCACATTTTTGTATTTCTTCTATTTTTAAAAAGTAAGACTTTGATGAGTGAAAATCTGAAAAATCTATAGGAAAACTCATTAAAGAAAACAGGAAAACATAGGATTTTTCACACATGGTGTGAAACTTTTCCAGGCTCCACTACACCACTGCATAGGGCCAATGTAAAGACAGCAGTCCATAAACATGGACATAATAAGCCAGTAAGAATGCAAAAACACAACCATTAAGCATTTCCCAATCGAAATGTACAACTATGACTTCCCATTGCAAAAAACATTTCATGTTTAGCACACAAAGTAACCGGTGAACTAAAGTTTTTAAAGTGGAACTGAACTACTTTGCAGATATGAAACAAACAGACAATCATATCAGTCAAAAATATCAAATTCCCAGTCTATGCTACAAAACCAACTTTATAAAAGGTTTATAAAAGGCTGGGAATGTCAATACAATTAAACTAGCAAGGGTAATGATCACAAGTCAGTCATAACGTGGCTAATACGCTAGCGTATCTACTTATGTAGCAAGCTAAAAACACTGAGCCTAATGTTAGCTAACTGCTAGGAGGATGTCATGTCATGCCATTAGAGGAGTGGGTGAGTGACTGACCTTTTCCCGTCATATCGTTTTTCGGTGGCTATACACAGCTAGAGATGCAGGTGTCATTTGATTAGCTAGCAAGAACTTATGCTAACTGGATAACAGTATCTTGCGTTCACAAATTCACTCTGGCTATCTACTCCAATTTCAGAGCACTCTCGTCTGAGTGTGCTAGAGCGCAGAACAACTGATTAATTTACGAACGCTCAACACCCTCTGAATATGACCGGTGTCAGTAAATGTAGGCAAAAAAAGTAATAGTTAGCCAAGAACACTCTAGATAACATTTAAACAGCCTAACCAGCTTTGCTACGGCGAGTAAAATGGTCAGAGTGAGGTGTTCTCTCATTTGTGTCTGGAAGTAGCTAGCTAGCAAGCTAGCCAACTTTAGCCAGTTAGCTTGGTGCTTGGTGGGACTTTATTTATTTTTATTTCACCTTTATTTAACCAGGTAAGCCAGTTGAGAACAAGTTCTCATTTACAATTGTGACCTGGCCAAGATAAAGCAAAGCAGTGCGATTAAAAACAACAACACAGAGTTACATATGGGGTAAACAAAACAAAGTCAAAAATACAACAGAAAATATATATATACAGTGTGTGCAAATGTTATGGAGGTATGGCTATAAATAGACCATAGTGCAAAATAATTTACAATTTAGTATTAACACTGGAATGATAGATGTGCAAGAGATGATGTGCAAATAGAGATACTGGGGTGCAAATTAGCAAGATAAATAACAATATGGGGATGAGGTAGTTGGGTGGGCTAATTTCAGATGGGCTGTGTACAGGTGCAGTGATCGGTAAGGTGATCTGACAACTGATGCTTAAAGTTAGTGAGGGAGATAGGAGTCTCCAGCTTCAGAGATTTTTGCAGTTCGTTCCAGTCATTGGCAGCAGAGAACTGGAAGGAATGGCGGCCAAAGGAGGTGTTGGCTTTGGGGACAAGCTTGCATTGGCAGGCAAGCTGCAGAAGGACGAGGCTACAATTCCCCATCGTTTATCAGTGCAATTTTGATGACCAACTAGCTGAAAAAGTTTGAAAGGGTTTATCTAATGTTCCTTCGTTAGATTTTAGCTAATCTTGCTCTGGCTAGCATTAGTTGTTGATCTTGTTGTTGTTGATGTGCATAACTGAGGGAGAGAGAGCCTACCTTTTCATGGTTGTTTGATCAATAGGACTAAAGTTCCCAAATGTAAGAGGACTCCCGTGGTGTTTACATATTTGCTGAAATCTATTCAGGTGTATTTTGTGGCTTTTGGCGAATGCGTTCTAATGATCTAAAGTTGCGCTGTTGCAACTGCCTGTAAGCACACAATCCAGTTCAAAGTGAATGATGGCAGGCCCGTGTGGCAAATGGCTTGTTTGTACAGTGGGGAAAAAAAGTATTTAGTCAGCCACCAATTGTGCAAGTTCTCCCACTTAAAAAGATGAGAGAGGCCTGTAATTTTCATCATAGGTACACGTCAACTATGACAGACAAATTGAGAAAAAAAATTGCAGAAAATCACATTGTAGGATTTTTAATGAATTTATTTGCAAATTATGGTGGAAAATAAGTATTTGGTCACCTACAAACAAGCAAGATTTCTGGCTCTCACAGACCTGTAACTTCTTCTTTAAGAGGCTCCTCTGTCCTCCACTCGTTACCTGTATGAATGGCACCTGTTTGAACTTGTTATCAGTATAAAAGACACCTGTCCACAACATCAAACAGTCACACTCCAAACTCCACTATGGCCAAGACCAAAGAGCTGTCAAAGGACACCAGAAACAAAATTGTAGACCTGCACCAGGCTGGGAAGACTGAATCTGCAATAGGTAAGCAGCTTGGTTTGAAGAAATCAACTGTGGGAGCAATTATTAGGAAATGGAAGACATACAAGACCACTGATAATCTCCCTCGATCTGGGGCTCCACGCAAGATCTCACCCCGTGGGGTCAAAATGATCACAAGAACGGTGAGCAAATATCCCAGAGCCACACGGGGGGACCTAGTGAATGACCTGCAGAGAGCTGGGACCAAAGTAACAAAGCCTACCATCAGTAACACACTACGCCGCTAGGGACTCAAATCCTGCAGTGCAAGACGTTTCCCCCTGCTTAAGGCAGTACATGTCCAGGCCCGTCTCAAGTTTGCTAGAGTGCATTTGGATGATCCAGAAGATCATTGGGAGAATGTCATATGGTCAGATGAAACCAAAATATAAATTTTTGGTAAAAACTCAACTCATCGTGTTTGGAGGACAAATAATGCTGAGTTGCATCCAAAGAACACCATACCTACTGTGAAGCATGGGGGTGGAAACATCATGCTTTGGGGCTGTTTTTCTGCAAAGGGACCAGGACGACTGATCCGTGTAAAGGAAAGAATGAATGGGGCCATGTATCGTGAGATTTTGAGTGAAAACCTCCTTCCATCAGCAAGGGCATTGAAGATGAAACGTGGCTGGGTCTTTCAGCATGACAATGATCCCAAACACACCGCCCGGGCAACGAAGGAGTGGCTTCGTAAGAAGCATTTCAAGGTCCTGGAGTGGCCTAGCTAGTCTCCAGATCTCAACCCCATAGAAAATCTTTGGAGGGAGTTGAAAGTCCGTGTTGCCCAGCGACAGCCCCAAAACATCACTGCTCTAGAGGAGATCTGCATGGAGGAATGGGCCAAAATACCACCAACAGTGTGTGAAAACCTTGTGAAGACTTACATAAAACGTTTTACCTGTGTCATTGCCAACAAAGGGTATATAACAAAGTATTGAGAAACTTTTGTTATTGACCAAATACTTATTTTCCACCATAATTTGCAAATAAATTCATAAAAAATCCTACAATGTGATTTTCTGGATTTTTTTTCCTCATTTTGTCTGTCATAGTTGACGTGTACCTATGATGAAAATTACAGGCCTCTCTCATCTTTTTAAGTGGGAGAACATGCACAATTGGTGGCTGACTAAATACTTTTTTTCCCCACTGTATAAAGGTCTACTGTAGCTCTGATTTGGCTAAAGCGCACTGGTCTGTGTAGCCTCTGGTCTGTTTTATTTACTGCAGTGTCTATTAATTGTCCAAACGCACGGCCACTTTCCCATTATATTCTGCTATAGAATTTCCACAAATTCCTTAGTATACGTAATTCCCAAACATTCTAAGAATTTATGAAAATGTGAAAATGACCATATCTAAGTGGTTGCTTGTCAGAAAATGTATTTAATTATTATTTTTTTTAAATAGTTTAATTCTTCCTGGGGTTGTATATGAACAGATTTTAATAAGATTTCATGTTGGTAAAATGCTGTCTGTTCCACTTTAAATGCAACAATGTTTCACACACATACATTATTTTCAAAGAGATGGCTAACAACAGCAAGTGCGCTGCAATAAAATACACAGTTCCACTCACCATATGATGATAATTTGAAACTTAACTTCTTGTTGAAAGTTATTCTTGAAAAGGGAGAAGCTAACAAATTAGCAACAACATCCTCTTTGATAACACCTACTGCATCCGCTGCAAACTAGCTGACAACAAAAGCTAGCTAGACCGTGGGAAAACTACTGCTCACTATTGCGCAGTGACCTGTTGAAGTTTCCATAAGTTTTTGTAAAAAAGGTCCCATCCATTAAGTCAAAATGTGATTGGTTAATTCCACTGTCAATCGAAATGTTTGCCCTAATACAGTTGAATGGCAGTTGCCTTTATCTAGCTTCTGATGGCCTAGCCAATGGCTAACTTAGCTAGCTAGATTTATCTCCCCAGAGACCAGCAAAGAAAAATCCTGATTGGATCTTTTTTTCTCTTCAGCGTTGACCCTTTCCTTTCCAACAAAAACTGAACAAATTAAATCAGAACATCATTGAAAATAATAATATAATTATCGTTATTATATTATTATCATTATTTTATAAATCCTTAGCCCTTCTCTGAAGGCGTAGAAGGCCCATTGTTCCCCACTGTGTTTGGGTTAGTAATAATTTGTAGGGTGGCTCTATTTTCCGTCAGCATGCTCTTTAATTAATTTGTTACTTTTATTTCGTATTATTATTTTTTATTTTTTTATTTTTTGGTGTTCTTTCTTAAAACTGCATTGTTGGTTATGGGCTTGTAAGTAAGCATTTCACTGTTGTATTCGGCGCATGTGACAAATAAAATTTGATTTGATAAAGAATCCATATGTTGTTCTGAAATATGAACACAGAAAAACTGGACATTTTGAACTCTTATTATGGTGGTGATTTGACAAAATTACAATCATGGTCTTGTCTCGGACCCCTTATCCCCCTCCCGGTCTTGGTGTTGTCTCAGTGTCGCCCCCCCCTCCGGTCTTGGTCTTGACTCTGATTCGATTTGCTCCGGTCTTGGTCTTGAATCGGTCTCGCTTTAGGTGGTCTCGAACACAACACTGCCTACTACCATACCCCGTTCAAAGGCACTTAAATATTTTGTGTGGCCCATTCACCCTCTGAATGGCACACATACACAATCCATGTCTCAATTGTTTCAAGGCTTAAAAATTATTATTATATATGTCTCCTCCCCTTCATCTACACTGATTGAAGTGGATTTACCAAGTGACATCAATAAAGGATCATAGCTTTAACCTGGATTCACCTGGTCAGTCTATGTCATGATAAGAGCAGGTGTTCATAATGTTTTGTACACTCAGTGTATGTTTATTGAAGTAGTCAAAAGTTGAGTATTTGGTCCCATATTCCTAGCATGAATGGTCCACCACCCAAAGGACATCCAGGCAAATTTACACAACTGTGGGAGGCATTGGAGTCTACATGGGCCAGTATTTGGTCCCATATTCCTAGCACACAATGATTACATCAAGGTTGTGACTCTACAAACTTGTTGGATGCATTTGCTGTTTGTTTTGGTTGTTTCATATTATTTTGTGCCCAATAGAAATGAATGGTAAATAATGTGTTTGTCATTTTTAAGTCACTTTTAAATAAGAATAGAATATGTTTCTAAACACTTCTACATTCATGTAGATTCTAGCATGATTACGGATAATCCGGAATGAATCGTAAATAATGATGAGTCAGTGAGAAAGTTATGGACGCACAAATATCATACCCCCAAGACATGCTAACCTCTCACCATTACAATAACAGGGGAGGTTAGCATTTTTGGGGGGTATGATATTTATGCTTCTGTAACTTTCTCACTCATCATTATTCTAAATTTATTCAGGATTATCCGTAATCATGGTAGCATCCACATTAATGTAGAAGTGTTTAGAAACATTATATTCTTATTTACAATAAAAGTGATTCCAAAATGACAAAATACATTATTTACCATTCATTTATATTGGATACTACAATTTACAGCAAAATTCTACGGCAAGCCATGAAGGACATGATCTCCCATAACTATGACCGCTTCTCCAAGGTTGGGTCATCCTCTGCTTTCTCTGGCTTCATGGCACGTAAGTACATGTTAAAGAAAAATCGATACAGCTATGTGATATAATCATAGATGGATAAAGTTCATTGTTTTGTTGATTAGCCAATTTATGTACTGTATAATTATGTTTATAACTAAATCAACTTCCTGCAGGTACCGCTGATGCCACTACCACCTACAGTCTGGACATTCTGTACTCTGGCTCGGGGGTCCTCAGGAGGAGCAACATGAACATCTACGGAGCCAGTAACGGCGCCCTGCTACATGGCCTCCAGGTAATGAGAATGAATTGGTGAATTGATAATGAAGAAATTATATCATTATATTTACAGTGCCTTCAGAAAGTATTCCAGGGTTTGCACAAGGTGCTTGAGGTGCTTAAAGTACTTGAATTTGGCACTCTGAAATTCAAGTACTGGAATACCTTAAATCAGACATTTTCTCAAGTTGGTAGTTGAAAAGTACCTGAATTAAAATGAGAGGACAACAGAAAATGATCAAATATGTTAATATGAAAAATATTAGAAAAATGTGATCTAATTTCCAGGCAGACTACCAAGTTTTATTTCCTCACGTGTTTCGCGCTCTGGTTACCAGGTGAGCTTGCTCATTCCACTGGCGCCAGACAGGTACAGAACTGACTGATTAGGCGCCTCCAAATGTCAATTCGATAGCTAAAATGCCGGGCAAATGTAGATTTAATCCTTCCTGGCAGGATATTGATATTTATACATCGGGTTTGCCAGACGCAACCAGGGATATAGTGGAGGATAAACGCCATTTACGCACCTTTTTATTTGCGAAATAGCGTTTACTCACCTTTTTTTATTTTGTTAATCTAATCACGCCTACCTCTGCGAACGAGTGGAATCATGAGTAATTCATGTATGCTCGTTATGTTTGCCTGCTCCCGCCGGAATTGGATGGTTAGCAGCGCATTAATTCACTACTCTGTCCAACGGGAAACTCCGCCCACGACATAGGCAGAGAGGTGAAACTAACTAGCTCAGCAGAGACCTACAGTAGCAAGTGGCAGAGAGACGCCGCTGACAGTGGGATTTTTTTTAACATCCCTCGACACCTGCCGTTTCAACAGACATCCCCCAAACAAAAACCCCCTGACTCTCGGAGAATGAGTTTACAACGTCTAAATAGTAACAGATATTTCAGTCAGATGTCTAGCTAGCTAGCTAGGTATCTCAAGGGCTGGCTATTAGCCAGGTAGCTAGCTATAACTATTCTGAACAAAAATATAAACGCAACATGCAACAATTTCATCGATTTTACTGAGGTACAGTTCATATAAGGAAATCAGTCAATTGAAATACATTCGTTAGGCCCTAATCTATGGATTTCACATGACTGCGCAGGTGCGCAGCCATGGGTGGGCCTTGGAGGGCATAGGCCCACCCACTGGGGAGCCAGGCCCAGCCAATCAGAATATGTTTTTACCCACAAAAGGGCTTTATTACAGACAGAAATATTCCTCAATTTCATCAGCTGTCCGGGTGGCTGGTCTTAGACGATCCAGCAGGTGAAGATGCCGGATGTGGAGGTCCTGGGCTAGTGTGGTTACACGTGGTATTACCCTGGTATTCACAAAGTGGGATTAAAATTGATTTAATTGTCATTTTTTGTCAACCATCTACACAAAATACTCTGTCAAAGTGGAAGAAAAATTCTAAAAAAAAAAGGAAAATAAGACACTATCTTCATTAGATAAGTATTCAAACCCCTGAGTCAATACATATTAGAATCACCTTTGGCAGCAATTACATCTGTGAGTCTTTCTGGATAAGTCTCTAAGATCTTTCCACACCTGGATTGTGCAACATTTTCCCATTTATTATTTTCAAAATTCTTCAAGCTCTGTCATATTGGTTGTTGATCAGTGCTAGCAACCATTTTCAGGTCTTGCCATAGATTTTGAGGCAGATTTAAGTCAAAACGTAACTCGGCCACTCAGGAATATTCACTGTCTTTTTGGTAAGCAACTCCAGTGTAGATTTGGCATTTTGGGTTATTGTCCTGCTGTGCTTTCATCTTCCAGTGTCTGGTGGAAAGCAGACTGAACCAGGTTTTCCTCTAGAATTTTGCCTGTGCTTAGCTCTATTCCGTTTATATTTTATTCTAAAAAAGTCCTTTACGATTACAAGCATACCCATAACATGATGCAGCCACCACTATGCTTGAAAATATGGAGAGTGGTACTCGGTAATGTGTTGTATTGGATTTGCCCCAAACATAACACTTAGTATTCAGGACAAAAAGTGAATTGCTTTGCCACATTTTCTGCAGTATTACTTTAGTGCCTTGTTGCAAACAGTATGCATTGTTTTGGAATATGTTTTATTCTGTACAGGCTTCCTTCTTGTCAGTTAGGTTAGTATTGTGGAGTAACTACAATGTTGGTGAGCCATCCTCAGTTTCCTCCTATCACAGCCATTTAAACTCTAACTGTTTTAAAGTCACTATTGGCCTCATGGTGAAATCCCTGAGCGGTTTCCTTCCTCTCCGGCAACAGCGTTAGGAAGGACACCTGTATCTTTGTAGTGACTGTGTGTATTGATACACTATCGAAAGTGTAATTCATAACTTCACCATTCTCAAAGGGATATTTAATGTCTGCCTTTTTTTTTTTTTTTACCCATCTACCAAAAGGTGCCCTTCTCTGTGAGGCATTGGAAAACCTCCAAACCTCCCTGGTCTTTGTGGTTGAATCTGTGTTTGAAATTCACTGCTCAACTGAGAGACCTTACAGATAATTGTATGTATTGGGTGCAGAGATGAGGTAGTCATTCAAAAATCATGTTAAACACTATTATTGCACTCAGAGTGAGTCCATATAACTTATTATGACTTGTTAAGCAATTCTACTCCTGAACTTATTTAGGCTTGCCATAACAAAGGGGTTGAATACTTATTGACTCAAGACATTTCAGCTTTTCATTTGTAATTAATTTGTAAAAATGTTGAGAAACATAATTCCACTTTGACATTATGGGGTATTGCTTGTAGGCCAGTGATACATTTAATCCATTTTAAATTCAGGATGTAACACAACAAAATGTGGAAAAAGTCAAGGGGTGTGAATACTGTCTGAACACACTATATCACTATCATTGTCATTGTGTTATTATATTCCATGTCATTTATCAGACACTTTTATCCAAAGCGATTATCTGTTATAGGTTTTTACCTCTAGATAATTTTAATATTAAACAGTGGGTATCATAAGTATTCACCCCCCTTGGATTTTTTCACATTTTGTTGTGTTACAATGTGGGATTGAAATAGATGTAATTGTGTTGTTGTTTTTTGTCATTGACCTAAGCAAAGAAAATGTGTATATACAGTGGGGAGAACAAGTATTTGATACACTGCAGATTTTTCAGGTTTTCCTACTTACAAAGCATGTAGAGGTCTGTAATTTTTATCATAGGTACACTTCAACTGTGAGAGACGGAATCTAAAACAAAAATCCAGAAAAACACATTGTATGATTTTTAAGTAATTAATTTGCATTTTATTGCATGACATAAGTATTTGATCACCTACCAACCAGTAAGAATTCCGGCTCTCACAGACCTGTTAGTTTTTCTTTAAGAAGCCCTCCTGTTCTCCACTCATTACTGGATTAACTGCACCTGTTTGAACTCGTTACCTGTATAAAAGACACCTGTCCACACACTCAATCAAACAGACTCCAACCTCTCCACAATGGCCAAGACCAGAGAGCTGTGTAAGGACATCAGGGATAAAATTGTAGACCTGCACATGGCTGGGATGGGCTACAGGACAATAGGCAAGCAGCTTGGTGAGAAGGCAACAACTGTTGGCGCAATTATTAGAAAATGGAAGAAGTTCAAGATGACGGTCAATCACCCTTGGTCTGGGGCTCCATGCAAGATCTCACGTCGTGGGGCATCAATGATCATGAGGAAGGTGAGGGATCAGCCCAGAACTACACGGCAGGACCTGGTCAATGACCTGAAGAGAGCTGGGAACACAGTCTCAAAGAAAACCATTAGTAACACACTACGCCGTCAATGATTAAAATCTTGCAGCGCACGCAAGGTCCCCCTGCTCAAGCCAGCGCATATCCAGGCCCGTCTGAAGTTTGCCAATGACCATCTGGATGATCCAGAGGCGGAATGGGAGAAGGTCATGTGGTCTGATGAGACAAAAATGTAGCTTTTTGGTCTAAACTCCACTCGCCGTGTTTGGAGGAAGATGAAGGATGAGTACAACCCCAAGAACACCACCCCAACCGTGAAGCATGGAGGTGGAAACATCATTCTTTGGGGATGCTTTTCTGCAAAGGGGACAGGACGACTGCACCGTATTGAGGGGAGGATGGATGGGGCCATGTATCGCGAGATCTTGGCCAACAACCTTCTTCCCTCAGTAAGAGCATTGATGATGGGTCGTGGCTGGGTCTTCCAGCATGACAACGACCCGAAACAAACAGCCAGGGCAACTAAGGAGTGGCTCCGTAAGAAGCATCTCAAGGTCCTGGAGTGGCCTAGCCAGTCTCCAGACCTGAACCCAATAGAAAATCTTTAGAGGGAGCTGAAAGTCTGTATTGCCCAGCGACAGCCCCGAAACCTGAAGGATCTGGAGAAGGTCTGTATGGAGGAGTGGGCCAAAATCCCTGCTGCAGGGTGTGCAAACCTGGTCAAGACCTACAGGAAACGTATGATCTCTGTAATTGCAAACAAAGGTTTCTGTACCAAATATTAAGTTCTGCTTTTCTGATGTATCAAATACTTATGTCATGCAATAAAATGCAAATTAATTACTTAAAAATCATACAATGTGATTTTCTGGATTTTTGTTTTAGATTCCATCTCTCACAGTTGAAGTGTATCTATGTTAAAAATTACAGACTTCTACATGCTTTGTAAGTAGGAAAACCTGCAAAATCGGCAGTGTATCAAATACTTGTTCTCCCCACTGTATATATATATTTTTTATAAAATTACATTTATAAAAATGTAATAACTAACATATAGTCATTGCATAAGTATTCACCCCCTTTGTTTAGGCAAGCCTAAATTAGCTCAGGAGTAACATTTGGCTTAACAAATCACATAAAAAGTTACATGGAATCACTTGTATGAAATAATAGGGTTTTACATTATTTCTACAGCATCTGTATGGTCCTTCTGTCAAGTATTGAATTTCAAGCACAGATTCAACCACAAAGACCAAGGAGCTTTTCGATAGCATCATAAACAAGGGCAGTGATTGGTAGATGGGTAACAATAACAAATCAGAAATTGAATATCTCAAGTTAATAATTACGCTGTGGATGATGTATTAAACCACCCAGAAATATCAAAGATACAGTCGTCCTTCTGAACTGAGCTGCAGGATAGGACGGACACTGCTCAGGGGTGTCACCATGAGGCCATTGGCGATTTTAAAACAGCTACAGAGTTCAATGACTGTGATGGGAGAAAATTGAGGATGGATCAATAACATTGAAGTGACTCCACAATAATGACCTAAATGAAAGAGTGAAAAGAAGATAAAAAATATACATAATACAAATATTCCAAAACATGCATCCTGTATGCAACAAGGCACTAAAGTAATACTGGAAAAAAAAACACTGCAAAGGAATACACTTTTTGGTCTAAATGCAAAGCCTTAATGTTTGGGGAAAATCCAACACAATACATCACTGAGTAACTGCCTCCTTATTTTCAAGCATGGTGGTGGCTGCATCATGGTATGGGTTGACATAGGCAAAGACAGGGGAGTTTTTCAGGATAAAAAGAAAAGAGATGGAGCTAAGGACAGGCAAAATCCTGGAGGAAAACCTGCTTCAGTCTGCTTTACACCAGATACTGCAGGACAATAACCTACAACACAAGGCCAGATCTACATTGGAGTTGCTTACCAAGAAGACAGTGAATGTTCCTGAGTGGCCAAGTTACAGTTTTGACTTGAATCTGCTTGAACATCTATGGCAAGACTTGAAAATTGCTGTCTAGCCATGATCCCCAACATCTTGACAGAGCTTGAAGAATTCTTTAAAGAATAATAGGCAAATATTGCACAATCTAGGTGTGCAATGGTCTTAGACTCACCGCTGTAATCGCTGCCAAAGGAGTGATTCTAACATGTATTGACTTCGGGGGTGAATACTTTACAGATTTATTTTTAAAATAATCTGTAAAAAATGTTAGAATTTTTCTTCCACTTTGACATTAGAGTATTTTCTGTAGATCATTGACAAAAAATTACTATTCAATCCTTTGTAACACAATACAATTTTAAGAAATCCAAGGGGGGTGAATACTTATGATACCCACTGTATATGTAGTCATGTAGAAGAGCAGATTCTAAGATCTCGCACGCTCTTGGGTTAAGTTTGCCCTAGGTACAGCTTATTTTATTGGGGAAAATGCAAAACTGAACCCAAGATCAGTGTTTAGGGGCAACTTCACCTTACACTGACTTGCTGCACTCAACAAAGGAAGGTGGACCAACCAACAGTGCCAACTTGTTGACAGTAATATCTGATTGCCATATTTTATCTCGCTGTCCAGGTGGCGATTGAGGCCCAAGGCATGGAGTCCCTGATCGCGGCCAAGCCGGACGAAGGCGAGGAGGACCTGGAGTCCTTTGCTGGGATGTCGGCCCTGCTCTTCGACGTCCAGCTGCGGCCTGTGACCTTCTTCAAGGGCTACAGTGACCTCATGTCCAAGATGTTCTCCATGTCCGGCGAGCCCATGAACGTGGTGAAGGGCCTGATTTTGCTCACTGACCACTCCCAGGTTGGCACTCTTAAATCAATGAATCAACCAATGAGTCACTCAGTCAATCCATCAAACAATCAGTCAATCGAACAATCAAACTTTATTTAAAGTGTTGTTTAAAAAAAATCACAACACACAAATGAACTTTGAGTTCGTTCAACTTGGTCTTCTGTATTATATAAAGTCACTGGTACCTCAGACATTTTTTTACTAATATCTTCATATAGACTCATATAAACTATTGTATGTGTTGGTATCGACCTAGGCAACATTTTAGCTGTCAATGCCTTCTTCAGCCACTTGGTTTCAAATCTCTCTGACACTAGCACTCACTGGCCCAGACGGGCAAGCAGCTATTGTGTTTTCTTTCCTCACTCCTGTTTTCTCATTCTCTCTTCTCCTACATCCTTTCAGGTCATCCAGCTTCAGTCTGGGTTGAAGGCCAACGCCGAGTTCCAGGGTGGTTTGGCCATCGACATCTCAGGAGGCATGGAGGTCAGCCTGTGGTACAGGGAGTCCAAGACCAGCGTCAACAACAAGTAGGGAACCTGGGTTCAATAGTGATGGGCAGAATGCAAACAAAACACTTTTTCAATTTGAGCATTCTTCTCATATGTTGCCAACTGAATGTACTTAGTCATGCTTATTGTTGGATAGTTTTGAATAATCATCGCACAATAATGACAAAAGGTAGACAAGCTTTGGCGGGCTCAGATTAGAGAAAAAGGTAAAGATTCAATCCAATGTGTGTTATAGAATAGCAAACTATAACTGACTTTTAAGCCGAGATGTGCAGCATTTACAAACTCAATTGGTAATACATGATTGACAGTGGTGAGGCCTGGATGGAGGATTGATGTTAACTACACGATCAAAAAATGACGACTGATTCATTTCATCCACTGATTCATAGAGCACGCTCGCGAATGGTGACGTGACAATTCTTGTCTCATCAGATATATGTGGAGGTGACATCATTTCATTCAGCTCTAGATTAGAGTAGTTGACTGATTGATGCTTGCTGTCAATGCAAACACAATAACAATTTCAACCAGAGAGCATTATCGGTCCAGTAGATAAATGTGACATCATCCAGTGATAAAATGGGGATGGAATTGTTGGAATCTAGATAGGTGCTTTACAGGAATCAGGGACCGTATTCATAAAGGGCCCGATTTAGTACATTTACACCTTTTCCTACACACACCTTTCCTACGCACTTCTCAGTAGTTGGTATTCAGACTTACCTTATGCAGGTGCGTAATGGGCTTTGCAGGCGTGGTTCCCTTTTGTGCACTGAATACATTTGAATTCAACCGCTGAAAACCCTCATGGAGTTTTCATTCAATAGGGTTTTCAGGACATTAATCTAATAGCCATCCCTTTTAAATTTGGAGTACCTTTTTTATTAATTTTCTCGACAGACTCAGTAGAATGTATGGAGAGAGCGCTTCAGAATATTAGGGATCAATGAAAGAAAGCCATGTAAATACACAAATATTTGTCAGCACCAATTGATATACAGTGGGGGAAAAAAAGTATTTAGTCAGCCACCAATTGTGCAAGTACTCCCACTTAAAAAGATGAGAGAGGCCTGTAATTTTCATCATAGGTACACGTCAACTATGACAGACAAATTGAGAGAAAAAAATTCCAGAACATCACATTGTAGGATTTTTAATGAATGGTGGAAAATAAGTATTTGGTCACCTACAAACAAGCAAGATTTCTGGCTCTCACAGACCTGTAACTTCTTCTTTAAGAGGCTCCTCTGTCCTCCACTCTTTACCTGTATTAATGGCTCCTGTTTGAACTTGTTATCAATATAAAAGACACCTGTCCACAACCTCAAACAGTCACACTCCAAACTCCACTACGGCCAAGACCAAATAGCTGTCAAAGGACACCAGAATCAAAATTGTAGACCTGCACCAGGCTGGGAAGATTGAATCTGCAATAGGTAAGCAGCTTGGTTTGAAGAAATAAACTGTGGGAGCAATTATTAGGAAATGGAAGACATACAAGACCACTGATAATCTCCCTCGATCTGGGGCTCCACGCAAGATCTCACCCCGTGGGGTCAAAATGATCACAAGAACGGTGAGCAAAAATCCCAGAACCACACGGGGGGACCTAGTGAATGACCTGCAGAGAGCTGGGACCAAAGTAACAAAGCCTACCATCAGTAACACACTACGCCGCCAGGGACTCAAATCCTGCAGTGCGAGATGTGTCCCCCTGCTTAAGCCAGTACATGTCCAGGCCCGTCTGAAGTTTGCTAGAGTGCATTTGGATGATCCAGAAGAGGATTGGGAGAATGTCATGTGGTCAGATGAAACCAAAATAGAACTTTTTGGTAAAAACTCAACTCGTCGTGTTTAGAGGACAAAGAATGCTGAGTTGCATCCAAAGAACACCATACCTACTGTGAAGCATGGGGGTGGAAACATCATGCTTTGGGGCTGTTTTTCTGCAAAGGGACCAGGACGACTGATCCGTGTAAAGGAAAGAATGAATGGGGCCATGTATCGTGAGATTTTGAGTGAAAACCTCCTTCCATCAGCAAGGGCATTGAAGATTAAACGTGTTTGGGTCTTTCAGCATGACAATGATCCCAAACACACCGCCCGGGCAACGAAGGAGTGGCTTCGTAAGAATCATGTCAAGGTCCTGGAGTGGCCTAGCCAGTCTCCAGATCTCAACCCCATAGAAAATCTTTGGAGGGAGTTGAAAGTCCGTGTTGCCCAGCGACAGCCCCAAAACATCACTGCTCTAGAGGAGATCTGCATGGAGGAATGGGCCAAAATACCAGCAACAGTGTGTGAAAACGTTTGACCTGTGTCATTGCCAACAAAGGGTATATAAGAAGGGTATTGAGAAACTTTTGTTATTGACCAAATACTTATTTTCCACCATAATTTGCAAATAAATTCATAAAAAATCCTACAATGTGATTTTCTGGATTTTTTTCTCTCATTTTGTCTGTCATAGTTGACGTGTACCTATGATGAAAATTACAGGCCTCTCATCTTTTTAAGTGGGAGAACTTGCACAATTGGTGGCTGACTAAATACTTTTTTTCCCCACTGTATTATATATCTTGTATATCATTTAGGGTTAGGAAAGTATTTATGAATAGTAAAAAAAACTTGTTTGGAGACCCTTTTACGCACAGAATATATTGGTGAATCAAAAATACGGTGGTTTGATTCATCCTGAAAGTTGCCATATTCAATTGTTCAATCCCTGAAATATTGGAAGGTGAGAAAAGTGTACAATAGGGGTTGAACAGTAGTCCTATAAATCTACCCTAATAATCCTCACTAATTATGGAACTGTGATGACAACGGTCCAGTCATCATGAACCGTGAGCCAGGCTCCAGGTTTAAACTGCTACGTATGGTCTGCGTTCCAAAATTATTCAAATAGGCTACATGTCCCAAATTATTGCACAACTTGTAATATGTTAGCCTAATATGATCAACTATTGCTAGCGATCCTCAGGAACAACCACACAAACGTGACAGAGGAAAGAAAGGTAAACTAACAATGTAATGGAATAATGCAAAATGTAAGAAAACTAACACTAAAGTCAGTGACCGTTATAAATGTATGTAGGTATAACTGATGGTGGCTACCAATTGTAAAAAATACAGTGAAAACTCATATATATATGACATATAATTAAAATATTCTATAAATCGATTCGGTAGGTTTGGCGCTATACTGTCATTTGTCCATGGCTACAGAAGCCTATAGCTTGGGTCTCCAAATTTCATCCTAAATTATAAGGCCAGCATTTCATCAACTTCACTGTGGAAAAGGTGATATGATGATATGCTTCTGTTTGCTGCCATATGACTGGTTTTGCATTGGTCTCCAGCGTTCATAACGTAAAATAGATCTAAAACAATTGTCATTTTATATTTACAATCCCCTTATCCAAAAGGTTTACTCATTTACCTAGCTCTTATCAGTAGCGCTTACCAATGTTTGTAAATTACAGTGCATGGAGAATGGTGTTATTTCTATCGGAAAAAAAGAAAGTAGATGTTCCACATGGAACCGACAGATTCCTCGACCTTATTCATCGTTTCATCGCGCATAAAGGTTGTGGAATTATGAGGGAATTAAGTCAAGGTCAGAATACAGTCTATCTGTAGACACACCTCCGCCACACCTTCTTCATTTCTTTGATCTCCACCCCAAATGAATAACAGGTGAATAGCATGCTATTCTCATGCTTAAGTTCAAGGTCAGAATACACGTAGAGAGAAAAGTGCATAAAAGGGAATTACGTTCCATTTACGCACGCTTAACTCTGGTCGGAATTCCACCGAAAGCATCTCAGACTAGGATCAGGTCTCCCCTGTCCATGTTGTAATCTTATTTATTGTGATCAAAAAGGCAAAACTGATCCTAGATCAGCAATCTTACCATGAGGCATTTCATTCCAGTGCTTGAATCACCTATTTGAGCCTAATGGTCTTGTCTTGACAATGTCAAGTTGTTTTGTCTTGTCAAAATGATGTTACCCAAGAAGTGATTTGGTTGGTCTGATCATAGTGCCATTGGGATTGTTCATCCAAATATGCTAGTTGAAGACATGAAATTTGCTCCATACATGACTTCCTAGAACTCTGATCCAGATACTGTAGATAGACTTCTGCTGCTTTCTTGGTCTTTGTTTCGCGATGACATTTTGGGTGACGTTCTGTGTTGGCTCAAAGTCAACGAGGGGAATGGCAGAGGCAGGTGTATGGATCACTTGCAGTCGTACTGTACCTCCTCTCCTCTGATAATAGACCAGCAGGCTATCTATAAGAGCAGAACATACCCAAGTGACATCTTTGCCAAGGCATGCCTCCACAGACAGATAGACATACAGGTTTTTCAGATGGCTTGGCAGTGGTCATTTTGATTTGAGATTTCAAGCAGAGAACTATGACGATAGCGGTTTCATATTCAGACATTCTCTGTCGTAGCCGGCCGTGACCGGGAGACCCATGGGGCGGCGCACAATTGGCCCAGCGTCGTCCAGGATAGGGGAGGGAATGGCCGGCAGGGATGTTGGTAGAGCATGGCGTTTGCAACGCCAGGGTTGTTGGTTCGATTCCCACGGGGGGCCAGTATAAAAAATAAAATTTAAAAATTTAAAAAACATATATAATGTATGCACTCACTAACTGTAAGTCGCTCTGGATAAGAGCGTCTGCTAAATGACTAAAATGTAAATGTAAAAATTCTCAAATTTGTAAGAGATTTTTACCACCAGTCACCACCTGTTAATTTTATGTTGAGTTAAAAGGCATTTTACTGGTCAAAGATTTGCAAAATGCAACTGAATCTTAATTTGAGAAAATGAAAAATTATTCTTATCCACCCATGAGTTATTTTTCATCTGAAATTGTGTCTATTTGCAGGGGAGCCATGGTGGTGACTGGGAATGTGACCGTGGACATGGACTTTGTGCGCACTGGGATGGAGGTGAGCTTTGAGACAGAGGCGTCTCTAGACTTTATCACCACGGTCCAGTTCTCAGAGTACCCTTTCCTGGTGTGCATGCAGATGGACAAGACCACCTTCCCCTTCAGGTAGGCCAGGGCTAAGACCAATTACAGCCTATTGAATTCTACATTGTATTTACAGTGAATTATGAATGCGTTAATGGCTCATTATACTTCCACCTGTGCAGTCTCTGATTACATAGCTCATGAATTGCCATTGTCCTTTATTGCAGTGAGTCCCTAACAAAATACGAGAGCCTGCCATCGGGGAAGAGCTACATGTCGCGCAGGGGCCACAAGCAGCTGTTGCCTGGCTCGGAGTTCCCTCTCCACCAGGAGAACTCCAACATGTGCAAGAGAGTGTTTGACTCAGACTGGTAGTCTTCTCCGGGTCAATCCATCTGTAAGAAGATGGAAGATCTTTTGCAGAGTGTAGAGAGTTATGGGCCAACAACCCTATTTCGTAATTACGTCAGTGTAAACAGCGTGTTGTATGAGGCGGATAAATGGATGCTAGCTAGCTATGACCATCGTAAAATGGCAAAAGTGAACTGTCGTGTGCCTTTTTTGTTGATCTGATTGGAAAATGCGTACATTGTGTCATCAGAGTTCAGTTTACTGCAAAATCGCTAACTAGCGGCTAACTTGCTAGCTGTTTACTACTATTTATCTCCCTTTCGATCCCACAACACAATGCGTTATTTACAGTGTGACAATAGTGTAATAAGGTTATTCTTCGAATGAGTCCTACTTGACATTCTGGCTGGAGAGTTATTTATTGTTTTGTTTTTTTAAAGCTATCCAGGAACACCTACTGTATCACACCACAGGCAAAAAACATTCATGTTTACATTCTTAATTCAACGTTTTATTTCAAATCAGAAATTTCTCTGGTGCCTTTTTTATTAATTTGTTTGCATATCTATTTATATGGGTATATGAGTATCATATACATTATGTGGTATATACTCAATATAGCTAAGTGATACAAACACAATATTCACCTATGTAAATATGGTACATAGCATTGGGTGAGCTGATGCTGTGGTTGAATTTACTGTCATTTACATAAATGCTCACATTACACAGTTTCTAGTTTGTTTGTTTAATTGAAGACATGGATGTGGTTTCCAAGGCTGCAAAGATTGAATGACATTAAAGTCATTGCGTAACAATGTAAAATAATGTATACAGTACTTGATTCACTCTGTAGCAAGATTGAAGGAGCTTTGACATGAGACCAGATAACGCTGGGTTAATTTATTGAATTAATTTCTATGATTTTAATTTCTGGATGTTAAACATGTACAGTACCAGTCAAATGTTTTGACACACCTACTCATTCAAGGGTTTTTCTTTTATTTTCTACATTGTAGAATAGTAGTGAAGACATCAAAACTGTGAAATAACACAAATGGAATCATGTAGTAACCAAAAATGTTTTAAACAAATCAAAATATATTTTATATTTGAGTTTCTTCAAAGTAGCCACCCTTTGCCTTGATGACAGCTTTGCACACTCTTGGCATTCTCTCAACCAGTTTCATGAGGTAGTCCATCATCACTTTAAGACATGAAGGTCAGTCAATCCGGAAAATGTCAAGAACTTTGAACGTTTCTTCAAGTGCAGTCGCAAAAACCATCAAGTGCTGTGATGAAACTGGCTCTCATGAGGACCGCCACAGGAATGGAAGACCCAGAGTTACCTCTGCTGCAGAGGATATGTTCATTAGAGTTACCAGCCTCAGAAATTGCAGCCCAAATAAATGCTTCACAGAGTTCAAGTAACAGACACATCTGAACATCAACTGTTCAGAGGGGACTGTGTGAATCAGGCCTTCATGGTCGAATTGCTACAAAGAAACCACTACTAAAGGACACCAATAAGAAGAAGAGACCTGCTTGGGCCAAGAAACACGAGCAATGGACATTAGACCGGTGGAAATGTGTCCTTTGGTCTGGAGTCCAAATTGGAGATTTTTGGTTTGTGAGACACGGTGTGGGTGAACGGATGATCTCCGCATGTGTAGTTCCCACCGTAAAGCATGGAGGAGGAGGTGTTATGGTGTGGGGTTGCTTTGCTGGTGACACTGTCTGTGATTTATTTAGAATTCAAGGCACACTTAACCAGCATGGCTACCACAGCATTCTGCAGCGATACGCCATCCCATCTGGTTTGGGCTTAGTGGGACTATCATTTGTTTTGCAACAGGACAATGACCCAACACACCTCCAGGCTGTGTAAGTTCTATTTTACCAAGAAGGAGAGTGATGGAGTGCTGCATCAGATGACCTGGCCTCCACAATCCCCCGACCTCAACCCAATTGAGATGGTTTGGGATTAGTCGGACGGCAGAGTGAAGGAAAAGCAGCCAACAAGTGCTCAGCATATGTGGGAACTGGTTGAGAGAATGCCAAGCGTGTGTAAAGGTGTCATCAAGGCAAAGGGTGGCTATTTGAAGAATCTCAAAAATAAAAATATATTTAGATTTGTTTAACACTTTTTTGGTTATTACATGATTCCATATGTGTTATTTCATAGTTTTGATGTCTTCACTATTATTCTACAATGTAGAAAATAGTAACAAAAAATGAAAAACCCTTGAATGAATAGGTGTGTCCAAACTTTTGACTGGTACTGTATATCAATTGGAAAATGTCTGATTAATTTATTTACACATTTGTAATTGGACCCATTTAGATAATTGGGTCCTGTAACCCTAAGAAATTTGACTTCAAATTATAATTCTTACATTAAACCTTTTGATATATTTTTTTGTACTATAGTTTGAGATCCTTTTGTTAGGTTTGTACTTGATCAACAACAAAGAGTGCACTGGAACCACTATGCCCCATTGGCTTGTAAGTGTATAAGGAAATTGTACATACAGTATGCAGTGCTTTTCTGGCATTACACTAGTGTGTATGTGTATGATCATTTTCAATAAAGCTATGAAAACCAGAATGGAAATTGTTTGTCTTTTGACGTTTCCCACTAACATTACTGACCTGTACATGGCTGTTGAGCCTACTTGGTTAAGCTATCAGAATACTGGCTTACCTGACAGGTCTTTAGATAATAATATATTTTCTGTGTGGCTTGTTCAGTTTGACAATTTTAACGCATGTCAATCATAGTAGAATGTTATGGGATGAAGTACAGTACATATAAGGGATATTTAGAGAGAATGCCTTCAGAATTTATTTATACCCCTTGATTTATTCCACATTTTGTTGTGTTACAGCCGAATTAAAAATGGATTAAATATATATTTTTCTCACCCATCTACACACAATACCCCATAATGACAAAGTGAAAACATGTTTTAAAACATTTTTGCAAATGTATTGAAAATGAAATACAGAATTATCTAAATTACATAAGTATTTACACCCCTTTGCTATGACACTCCAAATTGAACTCCGGTGCATCCAATTTCCTTTGATCATCCTTGAGATGTCACTACAACTTGATTGGAGCCCACCTTTGGCTAATTCAGTTGTTTGGACATGATTTAGAAAGAAACGCAACTGTCTATATAAGGTCCCACAGTTGACAGTGCATGTCAGATCAGAAACTATGCCATGAACTCCAAGGAACTGTCCGTAGATCTGCAAGATGATAGAATTGTGATGAGGCATATACAGTGGGGGAAAAAAGTATTTAGTCAGCCACCAATTGTGCAAGTTCTCCCACTTAAAAAGATGAGAGAGGCCTGTAATTTGCATCATAGGTACACGTCAACTATGACAGACAAATTGAGGAAAAAAAATTCAGAAAATCACATTGTAGGATTTTTAATGAATTTATTTGCAAATTATGATGGAAAATAAGTATTTGGTCACCTACAAACAAGCAAGATTTCTGGCTCTCACAGACCTGTAACTTCTTCTTTAAGAGGCTCCTCTGTCCTCCACTTGTTACCTGTATTAATGGCACCTGTTTGAACTTGTTATCAGTATAAAAGACACCTGTCCACAACCTCAAACAGTCACACTATAAACTCCACTATGGCCAAGACCAAAGAGCTGTCAAAGGACACCAGAAACAAAATTGTAGACCTGCACCAGGCTGGGAAGACTGAATCTGCAATAGGTAAGCAGCTTGGTTTGAAGAAATCAACTGTGGGAGCAATTATTAGGAAATGGAAGACATACAAGACCACTGATAATCTCCCTCGATCTGGGGCTCCACGCAAGATCTCACCCCGTGGGGTCAAAATGATCACAAAAACGGTGAGCAAAAATCCCAGAACCACACGGGGGGACCTAGTGAATGACCTGCAGAGAGCTGGGACCAAAGTAACAAAGCCTACCATCAGTAACACACTACGCCGCCAGGGACTCAAATCCTGCAGTGCAACACGTGTCCCCCTGCTTAAGCCAGTACATGTCCAGGCCCGTCTGAAGTTTGCTAGAGTGCATTTGGATGATCCAGAAGAGGATTGGGAGAATGTCATATGGTCAGATGAAACTTTTTGGTAAAAACTCAACTCGTCGTGTTTGGAGGACAAAGAATGCTGAGTTGCATCCAAAGAACACCATACCTACTGTGAAGCATGGGGGTGGAAACATCATGCTTTGGGGCTGTTTTTCTGCAAAGGGACCAGGACGACTGATCCGTGTAAAGGAACGAATGAATGGGGCCATGTATCGTGAGATTTTGAGTGAAAACCTCCTTCCATCAGCAAGGGCATTGAAGATGAAACGTGGCTGGGTCTTTCAGCATGACAATGATCCCAAACACACCGCCCGGGCAACGAAGGAGTGGCTTCGTAAGAAGCATTTCAAGGTCCTGGAGTGGCCTAGCCAGTCTCCAGTTCTCAACCCCATAGAAAATCTTTGGAGGGAGTTGAAAGTCCGTCTTGCCCAGCGACAGCCCCAAAACATCACTGCTCTAGAGGAGATCTGCATGGAGGAATGGGCCAAAATACCAGCAACAGTGTATTAAAACCTTGTGAAGACTTACAGAAAACGTTTGACCTGTGTCATTGCCAACAAAGGGTATATAACAAAGTATTGAGAAACTTTTGTTATTGACCAAATACTTATTTTCCACCATAATTTGCAAATAAATTCATTAAAAATCCTACAATGTGATTTTCTGGATTTTTTTTCCTCATTTTGTCTGTCATAGTTGACGTGTACCTATGATGAAAATTACAGGCCTCTCTCATCTTTTTAAGTGGGAGAACTTGCACAATTGGTGGCTGACTAAATACTTTTTTTCCCCACTGTATCTGGGGAAGGGTATAAAACCATTTCTAGAGTTTCCAAAAGCATAGTGGTCTCCATCATTGGGAAATTGAAAAAATATGGAACTACCCAGACTCTGTCTTGAGCTGGCCGTCCGACCAAACTGAGCAACCGGGCAAGAAGGACCTTGGTCAGGGAGGTGACCAAGAACCCAATGACCATTCTGACAGAACTACAGAGTTCCTTGGTTGAGAAGGGAGAACCTGCCAGAAGGACATCAGTCACTACAGCACTTCACCGATCTGGACTTTATGGGAGATTGGCCAGACGGAAGCCACTCCTGTGAGAAAGGCACATGACTACACCCCTGGAGTTTGCAAAAAGTCATGTGAAAGACTCAGACCATAAGCAAAACATTTAGTGGTCTGATGAGATTAAAATTGTACTCTTTGGCCTGAATGCAAAGCGCTATGTCTGGAGAAAACCAGGCACAGCTCATCACCCATCTAACACCATCCCTAACGTGAAGCACGGTGGTGGCAGCATCATGCTATGGAGATGCTTTTCAGCGGCAGAGACTGGTAAAGATAGAGGGAACATTTAATGTAGCCAAATACAGGCAAATCCTTTATGAGAACCTGCTTCAGAGTGCAAACGAAGATTTACATTCCAACAGGACAATGACCCCAAGCATACAGCCAAAGCAACGCTGGAATGGCTTCAGAACAAGAATGTGAAAGTCCTTGAGTGGCCCAGCCAAAGCCCAGACTTGATTCCCATTGAAAATCTGTGGAAAGATTTGAAGATTGCTGTTCACCTCCGCTCCCCATCTAACTTAACCGAGCTTGAGAAAATCTGCACGGAAGAATAGGATAAAATCCCCAAATCCAGATGTGCAAAGCTGATACAGACATACCAAAGCTTTAATCGCGGCCAAAGGTGCTTCTACAAAGTATTGACTCAGGGGTGTGAATACTTATGTAAAAGAGATAATGGGGTATTGTGTGTAGATGGGTGAGAAAAAAACAATTTAATCCATTTTGAATTCAGGCTTTAACACAGCAAAATGTGGAATAAGTCAAGGGGTATGAATACTTTCTGAAGGCAATGTATGTTTACAGGATATGGTTACAAATAATTTCACAAGCCTATTA